AATGCAAATCTTTAAATAACCTTGGATCGAGTACACAGTGGTGTAAAGTAACTTGTAACAACAACAACTCAAATGACTGTAATTGAGTAGTTTTTCTCGGGAATAGTAATTTACTAAGTAGTTTTAAAAATATGTACTTTTACTTTCCCTTGAGTACATTTTTAGTGCTGTATCGGTACTTTTACTACACTACTTTACTTCAACCTGCAGTCACTACTTTATTTTTTCTTGTTAATGGGGATCATAAATCAGTCCTGTGATTCCTGTATAATCAAATCACACATAGAAGGTAAATCACATCATAATGAATTACCTCAAGACATGGGTGATTTATAAATGCAGCAAACTGTTTGGAAGCATTTAAAGTGTTCAAGTAGATGACCAAAATCTTTACATGCAATGACCCAGAGACGGATGTTTACTGTATGATGACCGAAATGGCCTTAAACACCCAGCAGGCACAGGACGTCAACATGACATCAGATTGGCGTTGTATTCTAATGTCGTGGGGATGTTACATTTTGTTTGGAAATAAAATCGGGTTGATGTCACAACTCAATGTCAGGCCAACATCAATGTCCAACCTAAAACCAACCAAATATCAACGTCTAATGATGTTAAAGCTTGACGTTGTGTGGACATTACCACTCTATCAGACGTTGGATTTTGGTTGCCATAGCTGATGAATAAATAGCAGTATTAGACGTCAATATGATTCTGGTGTAAGATGGTGGCTCGACGTTGAATTTTGGTCACTTTCTAACAACCTAAAATTGACCAAATATCAACGTCATTATTGGAATCAAAATAACGTCCTTAGACACTGACTGGACGTTGAATTTGGTCACCTGACATCACAACCTAAATCTAACCTAATATTAATGTCTTATGACGTTGTGTGCCTGCTGGGCAATCACTTAATGCACTACAGAATGTTACGTTTACACACATCTACAAATTACATGTAAACGCATCAACCTTTTACAGTGTAAAACTCACTACTCACTACTCTTGAGTACTTTTGAAAGGGCTTTTCACTCATACTTTGAGTAATATTTACAACAGATGCTTTTACTCTACTTGAACTATATTTTTATGCAAGTAATGGTACTTTTACTTGAGTTTGATGATTTTTCAGTACTCTTTCCACCACTGCAAGACAAGTACATATGTGAAGTACTTGAGTAAAGGTACAGATATCTTTAGAAAATATCTCTCAATTAAAAGTATTAAGTACTCCTTTTCGATTTTGCCACAGTTTAGGTACATTTTAAAATCATTCGCATAAACTAGAGACTTGCTCTGACTAAATCATTTGAATCCACAATCATACACTGTTTGGTTGAGACTTTTCAGCAATGACACAAGATTAATATATTTAAACAAGAAACCAGTTTCAGTCGCAACTAGACCATTTGATTAGAAATCTGATGTAAAGCTGAAGTACGAGGGATGTGCATAAATCCAGAGACTCATTTTTGAATGCATATACTTATGGAAATGGAAATATTAATTTTGTTTTGGAGCATACTAGCTTAAAAATAACATTAACACACTAACAAATTCATAATGAATGGCAAATAAAATAATTTATCACTATATAATTTCTGACCACTGATCAGAAAACAAAAAAATAAACGTGGATGTGGCCCATTTGAACTGCTGACCATTAAAGCTCTGGGATACGTGAGCTACGTGATGAAACACAGCTATACAGAATCAATGAGCTTACTTGAAATTATAGCTAAATAAAATATCCAACTTGAAGGCAATTGGTGTGAGGGATAGCAGACTGGTGAATGTCAGTCCTAGCTGTTGGGATTTGATTTACGTTTAGCGGGAGCATGAAAATGCCATTGGTTAGTCAGCAGAGCATTACTCGGCTGCAGTGAAAGTGATTGATGTCACTGACGCCTGGGCCACATAATTACATTGCAACTTTTTGCCTTGTCAGCAAACCAGCTTGGCTCTAACTGCACAGGACTGGGCAGAAATCATCAAGCCTTGCCATGAGCAAAGAACCTAAGTTGGCTAAAAGAGCTTGAAAGCTGTTAAACGTAACTTCATAACAAATGCAGTACAAAAACTGAGCCAAAAGATGAAAATAATGAAATGAAATCAATCAGAGCATGTCTTTTATGTAAAATGAAATGATGATATATGGCTTTATATTCACTTAATAATTGACTTCATAATTAACATAAAAAATAAAGTATAGAAATAGTATAAACTGCAGTAAACTCCACTATTGGTAGATATAATAGAGTTGTTTGACTGAAACAATGACTCCACATGCAATAAATTTCAAATAAAAGAATAATATATATATTAGCCTTTATATCATAATTATCATTTTATTCAATACTTTATTTATTCAAACACATCTTCAGAACTAAAAGGAAAAAGTTCAATTTGTGCGCATAATACTGGTCTGTCCAACTATCAAGTGCGTAGAATTGGCATGGACAGAGGGGACATTGCCTCACCAATTACTGAAGTGTCCCCACCAATAATTGAATAGCCTTCAAAATAAAAAAATGCTCTGTCAAGCCTTAGTAACCTAAATGTGCTTAAAGAGTTAAATTCATACAGATAATAGGAATAAAATGGTTACATTTTGTCACATGCCTCTCTAAATTTCTGTACATTCATACCTCCTCAAAGCCAGATTACAGTAAAATCATGTCAATTGACTTTTGCAGCATAGAATTATTATTATTGTTATTTGTATTATTGGGTGTTTAAATGTTTTTAAAAGCATGAAACAGAATTTGTGCTGTTTAATACATTGGCTCTAGGGATGTACGTCTCCACCAATATCAAGAGCCTATGTGTTACTATGTGTGTCAGAGAGACACAAAACCTTTTTACAGCTCTATAGATAATATTTGTTCTCATGTTTCAAGATGCTTGAAAAAAATGATCCAATGTATGTATATACAGTATTTTTAAAAACATTTTCAATTACAGTTTTTCTTGTTTGCTTTGACCTGGTTAAAGAAACTAGGTTCTACTTCATTTTCATTATCATTATCACTATCCCAGCAAGTGCAGAAGACAGGTCTTGCAAATGTGTAAACCCTTTCTCATTGGGTTGACACATTTTCCGCACCATTTTTCAAAAAAGTTAACACGGATGTCATTCAAGCATTCCAAACTCCATTGTTTTAGCTATGGTAACCAAACAGAAACCATCTATTCCTAACCATTAGAAACTACCAAGATCAGTATGATTTCACTGAAAGCACCGGTTTGACACTCCTTCACACAAATCTTCATTTAGCAATCAGTCTGCAAACATTAAAAATGGTGGAAGGTGTGTGTTGTTCTGTGCCTGCATGGATGGAGGAGGTCAATAGTGGCTATGTCCTACTCCCAATAGATTTGACTGTATATTGGTTTACATGTTTTCTCTAATATTTACAGTATTTTATTACTTTTGTCTGTTTTTTTTAACAGTATTTCAGTTTTAAGCCACAGTTTGAAAAAATGTCATGAATTCAACATAAATTTAATCAAGGCATTTCTTATTCTGGATCCAATTCTTTGCAAAAAGGCAGCCCAAATAAAAAGACAACAAATGGCATTGGCAATAGGCTACAATGGCAAGCAATGGTGCACTGATTCACACTGAGGTCTGTATTTTATATTTTGTTGTCCATTGTGTAATGGTTAATTGAAAGAGCTCATATACTTGTTAGCAAGTTGTGTTGTTTGAAGGTTAAAATAGCTTTTGTTGCATATTTTAAATGTTTTGACACGGCATGTGCATTTTGCAACCAAAATGTGTTATTTTGAACATAAGTGCCGCTGTTTAGGCCTGTGTTTTAACTGTTTTGAAAATGTGGAGTTTCAGTTGACGGCTGCATCAAAGCAATCAAGAAAAACTGTAAAATAAATTAAGCAAAATATCTTATTAAAAGACTTAAACTGCACACAAATCAGTAGTCTAAAAATCCATATATATTTAAATGTATATATATACCCACACGCAAAAATAATAATATTGTAATGAAACTATATTAATAAAAATAAATCGATCATCAATAGACAGTAATTAAGGAATTATATTAACCCTATAAAAATGATATTCATCAAATATAAGGCTGCATCCAGTCAGGAAAGATTAAACTGTTCTGATGGGCTCTAGAGAGGCAGAAACAGGCAGCTATTATTCTGCCAGCTTATTTGCATGTATATTGACTTTGCTAACCTGATTCATGCTTTGCACTTTGCACAACTTGTGTAATAGTATATTTTATAATATGCTTCACATATAGTTAAGCAAACATATAGTTAATGGATGTGACAGAGAAAAAATGTGTCTCATGTCAAACCCGGCTCTTAAACCAACCTCACAAACTATAAAAGAGAGTGCTTCAATATCTTGAGTTAAAAATGGAAAAGACTGTCTGATAAAGAGCTTGAGCTCAAACACAATTGACGGTGGTCTTTTATTGTGCGTCTGGTCAGGGGACAAGGTCATTTAGAGAGATACCAACACCGAAGATTCACACGTTCCTCTGGGAGTTCTCATTGACAATGCCAGCTAAATGTTAACCACATGTAGCCTACTTGCTTTTTAGAGCATTGAATGGTTTGTAAAGAATTTATTATTTGTTCAAAATAAAAAGGAAGATATAGAAGATCTAGACTCTGAATTATAGGTGATCAGTCAATAGCAGTGCTGCAGGAACATTCATTTATTCCAACAGCTGCATATTAATACATTCAAGCTTTTCATTTTGGTTCAGAAATAGTCACTCTTCTTCTTAGCATTTATTTCTCCTGTGGGACTTGTGGTATAATTGGTATTCTTTTGAGAATGTCTTGTGTGTTCATTTTAGTTTAATTAAAATGTTTAACCCAAAAATTATATTGTATGACTGACTACATGTCGAGGTTTAGCAGCAAACAAAAGAGGACCATTTACCTACCATCCTGACTTGAGTAAGATGGCGCTAGATCCTATTTGCTTGTTGTCCCTTAGAGGGCGCCGGAGTGTTAAGTCGCGTGTTAAACTGTCAGCTGACATCCCGGAAGTTATCCAAGTAACAAACATCGCTGCCAGTTTCTGAACATTTCGTGTTTCTTATTAGTTTAATAGCCTTATTTAGGAAGCTGTTATGGAGGGTGCACTGGAGCAGCATCTTGACGATACGTATGTTTAAAAAGAAACCACTTTCTTTTCTTACGCATGTAACGTTACTTGTTTTGCGTCTTCATTTACTAATCTCCTTTCTCACTCTAGGATGAAAAATCCAGCTATTGTTGGGGTTTTGTGCACAGACGCTCAAGGACATAATCTAGGGTGTAAGTAATTTTTATATTTTCCTTAATATTTCCTTTAGTATAGTTTTCCCCTGGTGACCATGATTTGCTTGGTTTACGTTACATGTACTGGGTTTTCACTAGCAACAAGAGGTTAATATTGCTTTTAATATTTACACATGTGTTGAAGGTATGTAAAACGTTTTGAATTTTGATTAGTTTGATTTGTTTCTCAAAACAGGGAACGGGTGTCTACTGTGGACAACTTTATAACTGTGTTATTGACCAACTTTAAAGTTAACTGAAACAATGGTAAACAAAAAAATAACATGGTTAACTGAGAGAAAATACAAGCCTATTCAAATGTAATTATGCAAAAAATGTAAAGTAAAATTAAATGATGTATAGATATAGTTTGAGTAATAAAAATCTATAATGGCATGTGTAGTATTAAAAATATTAATCTGATAAATTAATTCAACTTGAGCATTTTAAGCCTGCTTTTTCAGTGTATTACCATGTGCAAAACAATATACAATTTAAAACTTTTCAACAAAATATAGGGTTATAGAATTGTGCTTTATATAGATTCTCAGTTGACTCTTTTCCATTTGGTTTCCAGAACTTGAAAATATACTGTAATTCTCAATGACATTACAAATATTTTAATCTCCAGGCCGGGGCTCACTATCTGATGAACATGGAGGAGTTGTATCTGTTCTGGCCAAGCAGGCTGCTTCTCTAACCAAAGATGCCACCGACTGTCCTACAGTGTGCCTGGAGTCTGACTGTGGGTAAGGAAAGCTTCTTGACCAGCATCTGTCTTATTTCTATGGATCTTGAGAATTGTTTGATTTGAGAGACAACTAAACAATCTGCAGAAATCGATGACATTATTTAATTAAGAAAGTTAAATGAGTAAAAGTCAGTTAAACAACAATCTTTGAAAGTCATTCATCCCATTATACCTTCCCTCTTCCACACACGCCAGTTGTCACTAAAGTGTATATATAGTGACTTGTAATAAGTATTGAAACTATCAAATTGGCGTGTGACTTTCTCAGAAAGTATTCCATTCATTTTAATTCATCAAGGATTAATAATATTTTGTGCTGGTCATTTGGTTGCTTTAGAACTGTCTTGGATCAATATCACTCAAAACCACCAATAGATGGCGGCAAGTCTTAATGAGTGATTCATTGAATTATTGATATTTGTAGTATGGATATAATAATAGAGAAGCATATGATTTCTTATGAGTTTTTGGGGGTTTATTATTTTAAAAAAAAGCATTATTATCAAGTAAATGTTTTTAAGTAAGGGTTAATTTTTTGCCACTATCATTATAGATATTCAATCAAAAGTAATGAAAGCAATGGAACCATTTCAATATAATGCATGGCATATGTATTACTAATTAATAGATGTAATTCATCTTTTTTTAAAGTTAATGCGGATGGGTTTAAACAAAGTAAATCAATTGATTTTAACATTATAATTCCTGTTCACAGTAGTTAATAAAGATTGAACATTTAACTAAACGGTTTTAAAAATGTCTGCACAGCCACAAATTTGGTGGCAATATGCTAAAAGAATGTAACTTGCCATTAAACAAGAACAACGAAAAAATGAAGGGCGCTCTTTTTTTTTTTTTTTTTTTTTTTTTTTTTTTTTTTTTTTTTTTAGCATTAATTTCTCAACCATGACTTGAGGAATTGCTATTGTTTTGAGAATGTCTTGTGTGTTCATGGTTGGCAGATTCTTAAGTTGACTGAACTTGCCACCTGCTGTGATTTTTAGAAACTGATATACCTGGAGTAAGCACCGTCTGACCCGGGGTAGGGAAGAGCAGGGCACAAAGTAACACTTTTGGTTTTGGTCAAATAATGAACAAAGTAATGGGCTTAGACAAACCAACAACACAAAAAACCTCTCCTACAAATGAGCACTGGTTGTATGATCGCCAGACCTACAGTTTCTGTGCAGTATTGCCAAAAGTGCCAGGAGCAAAAATGTTACTATTTGCCCCAGCAGTGGGGCAAGTTGTAACAAACAGAGGGTAAGTTGTAACACATGCTTACAAATGCAGATTCCACACAGTTAATTTAATTTCTGATAACTTTAAATAGTAGCTATATTTCCTCATTACTTGGCTCAATTTATTTTGTATTATACATAGCACAGCATGTTTATTTATTTATTTATCCACTTAATAAACACATTTGGATTTTTTTGCATTATTATAAAATGCGTTTATTTGCATTATTAGCAATAAAACTAATTTTTTCTATTAAAAAATATATATTTTCTATAAAACAAATCATGTTTATTTAAAAAGTTTTTAACATTACATTATCAAAAATAAAAAAATATTCAGTTAGTTTAATTGGTGTCCAACGGTGTGTGGCTTAATTGTAACACCCTGTTACAACTAACCCTGCTGTGTCGTGTTTTCTTCAAAACTGACTAGCAGTCACTGTCTTTTTACATCTTTCAAAATGGTTTCATCTTTTAGCCTAGAAGATGGTAATCACAGCAATATAAGATTTTTTCGTACATGCTTTCACAGATGTTTTTTTTAAGTAAAACAAATTTGCTGTAATAAAAAATACTGCAAACTGCTGCAAAAATGGTTTCTGTGTTTCTCGTCCAATTTTCAACAAACTTTTTCAATAATTGGCAGGAAGATGTCTGCCGACGCTGTGGTGAAAACCTTGGAAGCATGCCATGGTTAACCCTGAGCAAAAACCTTAAAATTGTTACATTTTACCCCACGTTACTTTGTGCCCAGCACTCCCCTTATCTATTTAGAGTTCTGGGTATATGTGATTGTAAGTTAGCCTTGCTTTCTGGAATACCCCTCTGTTTTGCTCTGGCTTTGTATATAACTACTTTTGCTGGTGAAAGGGCAAGAAAAGCAGGCAGTATTATGTTATGTCTGAAATGTAACTTAATTTTAGCTTTGTACACAAAAATCAATATCTATTTGTGATCATGCCTATGCACTGACATTTAGGTAAATGGCACTGTGGCTTGTGTGCTTTTACCCAAGCAACTCGTTTGTTATAATAAAAAAAAAACAGAACAATATTTTTGGCTTTCATAACAGCATATTGAGTCAATCTAAATGCATTCTGACAGGCTTCACTGTGTAGTGAATGCTTTTGGTATCTCAAGATGTGTTTTAATTGTAGTTTTGCTAACCAGGTGATAATCTCAAATCAAACAGCAGCTAATTTTAATCCTAAGTATTAAATGGGAATTCTATGTCATTCTGTCATTGCAGGAACATCTTGGTGAGAAGACATGGAACAATTACACTGGCTGTGCATAAGATGGCATCGTGAAATCTGTTGGTCTAAGTTTTTTCAATTTTAAAGATCATTAGTATGCGTTTGATAAGCTTCTGCTGTCTATTGTCGAAACATAGAAGCTCTATGGGTGTGTGAAATCTTGTCTTCCATCATATCAGAAATCGTCAGATGTTTGTTGTCAGTGTTTAATCTAATTTATTTTCCTATATTATTACTTTCTTTCAACCATAAAGCACACTTTAAATGTCTTCACTGCTTTTTTTGTTCAAACAGTGAATAAATGCATTAAGGAAATTCACATGGTTGAGTCTCTGTGGTTGCACAGTTAAGAGAGTTTTAGTTGAAGTAACACAGTGTGTTCAAAAGGGGGCAGCAATTGTAATTGAATCACCTTTAAGAGTATCTATGGTGAGTAACAGTTTATATACATGAATAACAATTAAAAATTAAATGTCGAGACAGATCAACCCTTCAAATTAATTATCATCATCATCTTGGTCAGTAACTACCAATAATAAAAGCTGTGTAATGTAAACTAGTAAAGCTAATTTTTTTTTTTTTTTAATGAATAACAAATTTAAATTATATTATATTTATATTGTATTATATTTTAGATTGCATTGGTTTGTTGTGTGCAAATAGATGCAGGCAATTATTTTTGTGTGTGTCACTTGTTTGCCTTGGATAACTCGTTCTGCAATAAAGCATATGAGGAAAATTTGAGGGAACTCGAGGTTCCTGAATTTTTTATCAGTCACTCAGACCTGTCATAAAGTGTTCTTCTGAATGCATGTGATGACTCTGGATAACAGTTAACAGCAAAATACCTTAGCTCAGATCTTGACTGTAAAAGATTCATCATTTTCACTCTAGGGTCAATATAGTTAATCAACCCAGTCTTAATTTTTCCAAAAATTACACCAAGTACGCAGCATGAATGCCAAAAGAAAAAATTGTTTCCCCCTCAATTATTTTGATATATTGTATCTTGAATGCATTGAAATGTTTTGTATGATCTGAATGTGTAAAAATAAAGTACCAAAATAGTACTGAGAGCATGGGGATGCAACATAATCACCATTGTAGTAAATGTTTAACTTGATATTTTTGCATATTGAAATGCCATTAACAAATGTTCAAGCTTACAAAATTTATGAATAGCAGCTCTAAACAGTCGATTAGTTTTTTCCTCAAGCAAAACGAGTGCAGTTTATGTGCACTTTAATTAAAACACACGTTTTTATTAGTGCCTTTAGGGATTTGTCAAACATTAGAGATACTACCTGAATACCTAAACATTCATAATTTGACCTTGAAGCAACAAAGCCTGGTGCTTTTTACCTCTTTCGAATAGCCACAGTCCAGGAAAGCCTCTGAAATTAGTTCCACTTCAATACTTGGCTTGTAGGTTCCGGTCACATGGTCAATAAGTGCACTAGCGGCAGGTCGTTGGCTCTGCACAACCTGAGCGCATTGCATCCAATCTGTGCCGGTCCCAGGGGTCTGAAGTGACCCCCCCGAGACACTCAGACTGGGGGCCAAATTTTCAGAAAACATAAAATCAAACGCAGGGAGTCCAGCCATGTTCACGAATGACTTTGATAAGACTTGCCGCCTCAGAGGAGGAGCTGTCATCGGGAAATCCAGGGATGTTGCCCGCAGCTCAAGTGCCGGAGCGCGCATGAGGAATCATCCACACCAAATCAAGTCTTAACAAGTGAAATCTGGAATAAACTGACTTGACTTTTAGTGTTTCGAGAAATATGGTAAGTCTCGTCTCCACCCTAATGTTTACGTTTATGAAATGTTCGAATATTTACAGAATTAATTTGCTCGTTTGCAGACAATTTTACGTTGTAGCATTAATTTTGTAGCTTATATTATTTTTTCCAGACTAAGCTTGTCATTTCTTTCACAAACTACTGTTTTTTTTTTGTTGGATGTTAATTTTAAAAGCTGATTTAAAAAAAATAATTGTTGGAAAATGGATGACAAAAACAAAGTTTAAACTTTTAAAAGCTTGAAGTTGAAGTTAAATAAAATAAATATATCGATTAATCACTGCTTTCTCAAGATAACAGTTCTTTGAAACTTTTGTGTGAATTAAATTTGTATTCTGCTTATTTACTACCCTGTCAGATGTGTTTACTTTTAAAACTAGTTTAATAGCTGAATCACAGTAAGCTTGAAAAGTGTGTTGTTTGTAATGCTTTTTAATAGTTTAGTTTAATTCAATGACATGCAACAACGTGTAGGCTAGATGGAAGCTTTTAAATACGATTAAAGTTTTCTTTATGTTTCACCCAAACAGAACTTAACAGAAAAATAAAACCGGTTACACTTCAAAACACGAATCAGGTAATACAAGAGCTTTAATTGACGGTGTTTTTCTGTCGACTGTTATTGATAGGTGTAAAGTGCTGCATTCCAGTAGCGCGCATTCACATGAACGCCGCTGGGGTCGCGAGATCCACACACGAGCGCTATGCGGCTGCTGGGCTGACAGCGCGCGACAGCATCGGCTCTGGCGTTTGGGTAAGTGCATAAGTGCAGCACCCTAGTAATTTTCCCCACTTTTTTGTGTCGTGATATTGGATTACGAACTAAGCCTGAGTTTTAGACGTTTAACGACACAACCGCACGGCTAATTGTCGCGTGTTTAGGTTGGTTGAGTTGAGGATGGGGAGGAAAGAGCACGTTGTGGGATGTCCTGAACGGTGCGTTCCCAATTTCAACACCGCAAACCCACACAAACGCCGGTGCAGATAAAAGTTTTTAGAGTAATGGAGTCTTTTATTTGTGACAGACAGTGGCTAATGTATGGTAAGAGAGTAATCATTTACAAATGAAGACACTTTCTCAGTTAAGACATGCTATGTTAGACTGTTGTTTAGTACAATCTAAATGATTTGAAGAAACTGGTGTGTGGAAATGAATTTCTGTGAATGTGTGCTCAGAAAACATTACAGTGAATCAATGAAAAGGTCAAAAGATTTCCTTTCACTGTATAATGTCACAATAACAAGGCTGTATTTGCTTAGTCATCATTTAAATTTGATGATTTAAAATGCAGTTCTCACAAGAATTGAGCTAATATGACTGATTAAAGGGATTGATCACACAGAATGTATAGGCTACATTTCTTGTTAGTCTATCATCAGTTTGTCCAAGACATCATGGACAATTTTTAGCTGTAACTGGGGTACTTGTTGACTTATAAAATGCCAACGGGCTATTAGCACTTTATTAGTTTAAAACAGTCAAAACAAAATAAATAATTGTGTAGTCTCTGGGGCATCTTTTCAAAAGGTACACATTTGTACCCCAAATGTATAAGTATTTAAAAAATACAAAAGTGTATGGAATTGTAAGGTACTGACAAAACATTGATTGCATTACCTTTTATTCAGAGCCTCAGCACTCAGTCTTGAGCACATAATGATGTATACACAACTGCAAACTAACACTTGAAGTAATACTGTATGTTTTGAGTAATTACACTAAATATAAAAGGCACAATTATGTACACGTGTGAGTGAAATAGGCAATATTGAATTTTTACAGATTTCCTAATTCCTATGGTTTATATACGTCATCATTATGCAACAGTTTGTTCTCCAGACTGTAGTGAATGTACTCGGGTCTGTTAGCTGAGGCTGTGGATTAAAGGTCATTTTGCTTCAGAAGACCTCAATGAGTCGTCAGGAGGCAAGGGGATCAATTTTGTTTTCCCTTTGTGTGTTTTTGCAATGTTAGTAGCAGTTGACTTGCATTTTATGCATCAGCAGGGTCCCAACTTTGAGCTAAAAATCTTCTTTCTGTAGTGTTCAACTAAAGAAAAATGAGTCTTCTACATATTAGATGGCCCATGAATGAATAAATTACTGAAAATGTGTATTTTTGGGTAAAAAATCCCTTAAAAGTGTTAAATCCCTGTACAAATGCAATGTAAGTAAAGAAAGTCTTATTCACGGGGGTGTAAAGTTCCACACAGGTATGCCAATACAACAAATGTTCAAACTATAAGTGAAAAAAGCAGTGCTGTGGTTATTTATGACTAGCTTCACCTTGGGTATAAAGGCTGATATCTGACTGCGACTTCCAGTCAGACATCTCTACCAATGAATATAAGACTAACTGTGTCTGCAAGCCTAACAGTTTTCATTGAGCTATTTGAAGGACACACACTGATTGTGCAGAGATTAAAAATCATTGTGAGGGGAGGATCCAAGACCACATTTATAATGAAGTTTGTGTAACAGGTTCATCATAAGCGAGTTCCACAAGTTCCAGTACAGAAGATGAAAGAGAGTAAATAAGGTCCTTCATTTTCCTCTGCAACAACCATGCTGCCGAAAGAACAGCACAGGTGAGTCTGCAAATCCAGAGTCCTTTTATTTAATATTTTTTAAAAAGGTGAGATGGTTAGACAATGCATGCACTTATTAATAACAGTAAATTATACATAACTACATGCATCTTATGATAACCCTAACCATAATCCTAAATCTTACACACAAAAAAGGATGTTCTGGTAGACAATAACCAATGATTGTCTTTTAATAATCAACATTGAATATGCTCTTGCTTAAAAGATGGTGTTTGCTTATAGACCCTTTTCACATTTCCAGGTGGGAAGTCATCCTAGTTGGGAAAAACTTTAGTAGAATACATTAAATGTTTTTTTACAACTTTATTTGCTGAAGTAATAAAAGAAAAGCTCCACAATAATGTTATGAAGATGTTTAGAAAAGAAAAAAAAAAAATTGGTGGGACTGATGACAGCAGCCAACATAGAGAATAATGTTCAATTTACTGTTCTGTCCCATAGACGCTTCATCAGAAACACCTCGTACAAGTGGTAATTCATTTTTTTTTTTTGTAATTTGAAGCAAAGATTAAATAATACACACATAAATGCATATAAATGTTTATATGTTTAAAAAAATATATTAAACACTTTCAAGGATTTAAGATTATGATGACCGTTAAACATGTCATAACAGGCTTGTAAAAAGGGTCCATTGAATAAATAATTGACTAATTTTTACAAAATTACAAAAAATTACATATCAAATATACTTGTAATTTAATCAAATATTAATCATTTGATAAAACATTACATGTTTTTTGTTTGTGTGTGTGTGATGACTATAATAGTTAAACAATTGTAATCATCTGTGTAATTAAACTGTAACACTCTCATCTAGTTGTTCATTATTAACCAAATGAGTGACTACATAATGTATGATTTTTTTTCTTATCCCGAATTCTTATGATAAGCCTATTCACCTTATTCTTTGCGTACGAGTGGGCGCAGCCATTTGAATCTTTTTGGCTCAAGACTTCTGGTCTCATTCACTTCCATTCATTTTTAGACATTAAAAACAGCTCGCAATGCTGCTTGATGTTGCAAACTGATATTTTCTTATTATATTAATTTGCTTTGGCTGTATAATCATGCAAACACTTGTTTGTAGAGCAAGTACTGTTTTCTGCAATTTATTATTACTAGTCATTTCTCCCATAGGCGACTGAATCGGAAGTTTTAAAACAGTCACAAAAACAAGCAGACTTCTGCATTGAAGAATAAAGTCAAATAATAGGGGGCCTATAACAGTTTGGTGCTGTTTGTTGGTTTTATTGCTTAAATTGCCTATATTCAAAAAACATTTGCTATCTTGTATTTCCCTTTTGGTTAACAACAGCAGCGTCTTTCTGCTCACTTGTTTTCTGCTTTAAGGTATAGTTCACCTAAAAATGAACATTCTGTCATAATTTACTCACCCTAGACTTGCTCTAAACCAATTTGAGTTTTTTTTTTCTGTTGAGCACAAAAGAAAAACATCTGAAGAATGTTTAAAAGCTGTAACAATTGGCTTCCATAGGATTTATCTTTCTTACCATGAATGTCAGCGATCTCACCAAACAAACAAAAAAACAGCTTCAACTAATTTTGAACATTTTTGGGTAAACTATATACCTTTAAGGCAGTTACCAAAATTCCACTTGGCAATTTTAAGTGAAAGTAGGAGCAAGGACTGTAACATTTCTCCATTATGCACTTAAACTTAAGCATTCACACGTGATCTTGCCTACATCCATGCAATTTAACACACACATGTATAGACACACTCCGGGCTGCCCGCGGTTAGCACATGGAAGGAAATGTTTTCACTTACAACACACTGGCCCAATTCATTGCTCTATAATCCTCTAAGCAGTTTCTGCATGCTTTGGCCTCTCCACTTGTCTGTCTTCTCTTGAAGGAACAGCCAAACACTTGAACTCATGAGCTTTACGTACTAGAGCTTTACAAACCACATATTTTTTCTCTCTGACATGGTTGTGTTTCTGGCTTTATGGAATAAGGGAGAGTTCATTCAAAAAATAAAGTTTTGTTGTTATTTAAAACTCAAAACTCATATCTCATATATGTTCTGTGGAACACAAAAGGAGATGTTTAGAACAGAATATTGAGTTTGCTCTTTTTCATAGAGTGAAATTATGATATGGAGCAAATTCTACTTGCAATACAGTGCACAAGTCATTAAAAGTACTTCTATGTTGCTTTTATAGTGCTTTCTGGAACTTGGGGTGCACTCACACTAGGCTATCAAAACTGTGCCTGTTTCCTGGTTTGTTTGACAAGTGTGAGTGCTCTGAATCAGGCCCAGGCATAGTTCAGTTGGCCGCCCCTGGCCTGGTTGGAAGAGGTGTGCCATAGCGCAGTTCGGTTGGGCTTTGGTGAGGTATGCTTATAGTGTGAGGGCACTACAAAACTCGAAACTAAAGACTTGAAGTCACATTTAAGGGACTGTTTCATATGGATTTTTAAAATGATTCCTACTGTTCAATAAACATAACTGTCATAGTTTATTAAAGATGAAACCCCTCGCTGCACAACAGCTGCACCTTCAGCAAACCTCCTCATACTTGCAGCACAAGGATTTTCATGAACTTTTATGAGCGTCAAAAGCAATGGATCTTTTTTGGAAAATATTTGAGTGTCACTGCATCTCAAACGACCAAAAATAATACAACACGATATAAATATAGCAATGTCCACTGTGCCCAGTGAGAGCGTTTCTCTTCTGTTAAACTGAACAGTCCCATAATTGATGACGTAAGCATGCTCTGGCTCGGAAGGCAAAATGCAGTGTGAGTTCGGGGGAGAGGGGAGGGGAAGCGGGACAATCACGCTTCACCACGTTTTAAGGCAACTGTACAGTTTGAGTACGCCCTTTAAAGCCTGGTTTATACTTCTGCGTCAAGTGACCGGCGTAACTCATGGCGCAGGCAACGCGCACAGCTGTGCATTTATACTTCTGCGCGCTGTCTCTGTTGGTCTGCATTAACACTTCCGAAACGCTAGTTGGCAGTGAGGTGTAAATGTTCCTCTGTGTCGAGTTTCTTCGCTTCTGTTTTGCTTTTCCTGAACACTTCCTGGAAGTACAAGTGACTCAAACTCGCTCATTTTGAGGCAGGAACTGGCGGACGTGCAACAACTTTAACAATGAGGTAAACACAGAACGAAACTTTCCATCCGGAGCTCCTTCACGGGACTCCACACTTGTAAACAATCCCTCGCGCTTTTCGTGCGGCTCTCTGTCCCGCCCAGACTCGTCAGCGCTACCAAGCTGACCAATCGCAGAGCTTGCGCTACGCGTTGTTACGACGTGCATAGCATATGCCGGCGTTTGACGCAGAAGTATAAATCAGCCTTAAGTCCACATTCTCTAGCACTATTTGGGAACATTGATGTTTCCATTAAAGTTTCCATTAAAGGACAGTATTTACTCCTCCCTCCATCATCCATTAGATGTGTGTTAGGGATGGGCGATATCTTATATTTTGCAATATACACGTAAAAATACTCCCCACACTAAAAAAAAACATTGTAATTTTAACAACAAAACCATTCTGTGCAATGCATTATTACAATAGTACGTGTGCGATAGATCACGCATTAAAAATAAAAAGTTTTGTTGTGAGCAGACATGGTTTAATATTAAAAAGTGAGAAATAAACCATACTATTTCATACAGTTATAATGGCTAGGTCGATTAGCATTGCATGGTAACACTTTACAATAGGTTTATTAGTTAATGCATTTAATAACATGAACTAATCATGAACAACACTTGTACAGCATTTATTAATCATAGTTGAACATTTACTAATGCATTATTAACATTCAAGTCCTTGCTTGTTAACATTAGTTAATTCACCTCGAGTTAACATGAACTAACAATGAACAACTGTATTTTCATTAACTAACGTTTATTAACATGAATAAATACTGTAGTAAATGTATTGTTCATTGTTTGTTCATGTTAGTAAATGCATTAAGTAACATTAACTAATGAACCTTATTGTAAAGTGTGACCCATTGCATTATAAATATACTTTGTGCTTATAAAATACTCAGGATGGCCTGAAGTATGCAAATAGTCCATATATTGCTGCAAGTAATTGTTTAATGTCTTAATATTTGACCCATATATCCCTTTCTTTAGTCTTTATTCTCTTTGACCGTAACTGATGTATTTTCTTTAGCAGCATATATGTATGTAACCCCGCTCTGAGCTGGGATCGAACCAGCGGCTCTTTGCATGGGAGTCGGTTGCTCTAACAAAGGGGCTAAAGACTATGGCCACTAGCATCTGTCGCTAGAGCACCTTTATAGCTCAGAGGATTAAGGTTTACCTGCACAGCACTTCACTTGCTAGCATCTGCTACACTCAACCCCCTAAACCTCACTCCCATCGGGGTCACGGCACCAATGTAACCCCGCCGCTACCCAACATGCTCGGAGCTGGGATCGAACCAGCGACTCTCCGCATGGGAGTCGGTTGCTATAACAAGGAGGCTAAAGAGCATGCCCTTTAGCATATCATGTCAGCAACATAGCCATGAGGTTGACACTTCCCACAAGGCCAACGATAACACCAAGCAGTCACAACAACCACTGCTCACGGACACACTGTGTCTGCTGTACCTTGCAGACAGAGCTCACCACAGATAGACTGTTACATATCTTGAACAGCTTCAAGACTCAACAATCAAGGATGATCTCTTGGAAAACAGCCAGGACAACATATTACACCAGGCACGCAGCCTTTCTTTTACCAGACACATTATCCATCCCTTCAGAATCCAGAATATGGAAGAACTAGTATTTGCTGGAAATAAACTCTCTCACATTATTTCCCCAGATAACAACTAAAGAGCAGTCAGCCCAAGTAGCCATCTAGCCTCTGCCACAGCACCAGGGCCCCTGACAGCTGATAATGGCTCTCAGTGATATGTATTGGGTCCCCGCTATCATAACTTTCACAATGATTTACTGAACATTGTGCCTGTAAATTTCTCTATATATGTTTTATCACATGATAGGAATTCTAAGGTCTTTTCAGCAAAATAAATCTGCTGCTCAATTAATGTAAATTAGAGCCTGCTGTGTGGACAAAGATTGAAACTGTTAAGTTAGAACTTTAAAACATCTACTCACTTAAAGAAACACTCCACTATTTTAAAAAATAGGCTCGCTTTACAAGTCACCTAGAGTTAAACAGTAAAGTTTTGCCATCCATTCAGCTGATCTCCTGCACATGCTTCAGTCATAAGTGAGATGCTAATGGTCTAATCCAGATTCAATGGTTTATGCTAAGCTAAGCTAAATGTGTTCCCACCAAACCCGAAGACCTGAATGAATTAAAAAATGGTAAAAATAAACTGTTTGACTCTATGTGACTTGTAAAATGAGATTATTTCCAAAGTAGTTAATTGTTCCTTTAAACCAGAGATGCCCAAACTAGAGCCTGTGGGCCAAAGTTAGCCTTTGGTAACCTTTGATTTGGCCCGCTATCCCATCTGAGAATGGTTTAGAGATTGTAATTTCAAATTTAATTAAACTTTAATTTGTTTGTTTTATTTTTAAGCTAAAAAACACTATCTGAAATTAAATAATTCCATTTAAATGGTGTAAATTAATTTGATTTTGTTTCAAATGTACATACGACAGGTAGAGGATAATGCAGAGACTTTGGTGAGTGAATCAAGGCAAAGGCAATTTCTGCTTAACTAGTGTATTCAGCATTGAACCCCACTGTTATAAATGTGATTATGCTTTGTAGTTTAGTTTGGTATGTGTATCTTCGGCCAACAGCTCTCAATGATATCTAGTTTTTGGCCCTTCATACGAAATAGTTTGGGCATCCCTGCTTTAAACTAAGGACAGAAACACCAAAGCTGCTTAGCAAACCTTTCTAATCTGCTTGCTGTTAAATTTAAATCAGATTTTTTGTAGTCAAAAACTAAAACTGTTAGTGTGCAAGCAATTTACAATGTTTATTTTGTAAGAATTGTTAATTGATAGCTCATCACAAACTACATTTACACAAGCAGTGAAACATATTACTACATCCAAGTTGCTCAGTGTCATCAACAAACTTCTAAACACGGTGTACACACGACACTAAAGTAATGCAATTAACATTATCAAAATTAGATTTCACCATTTTATTTTTGTTCTGCTTAGTCCCTTATTTATCAGGGGTCGCCACAGTGAAATGAACTTCCAACTATTCCAACATATGTTGTACACAGCAGATGCTTTTCAAGCAGCAACCCAGTACTGAGAAACACCCATACACTCTCACATTCACTCATACATTAAGGCCAATTTTGTTTAACCAATTTACCTCTGATGCATGTTTTTGGACTGTGGGAGAAACCAGAGCACCCGGAGGAAACCCACGCCAACACAGGAAGAACTTGTCAACGCCACACAGAAATACCAACTGGCCCAACTGGGACTCAAACCAGCAACCTTCTTGCTGTGACACGGCAGTGCTAACCACTGAGCCACCGAGCCACCTCAAAATTAGATGTGAAATAACAATTTACCACAGAGCTGATAAAGAAAAAAGAAAGCTAGTTATGTCAAAAACAAAAACTTTAAAGTGAAATGTCATGCAGGGAATTTTGAAAATTTACTGCATCTTACTGTTATTTACAGAACATAGAATCATTCTTTTAAGCAGTAAACAATTCTTTTACTGTCTACTATTTACAGTTTTTATTGTTAAAGTCATTTTTCACGTTGTGGGTTCACTCAAATCAGGGTAAATTCTCTTTTAGCAATTCAGTAAATCAGCAAATGTCATCAGATTTTTGCTTGAGCTGCATGCACCTGAGGTGCTGTCTTTGATTGCTCAGTATTTATAGTTGTGCAAGTGTTTATCTCTGTGAAATATTTCAGACGATCCACCGCTCTGCACAGGGGCCCAGCGTTTGGTTAACTTTATGCCAGGTGTTTGTTTGAACAAACCCGTTAGCCTTTGACCGTTCTTTCGGTCTATCATTTTAATCACTGTGCTAGACATACATTCCGCTGTATCAGCTGTATATAAAGAGGACTCGGGGCATGATTGAGAACACTTCACGTCATACTCATAACCAGTTTAAACCAGTAGCATCCTGATGTTTACTCAATTTTTAACCACTCTAAACAAAATAACAGTACAGATTACATCACAGTACATTGCCTCCTGGAAGAGAAAATATTTAACAGATCAGCACCAGATCAAAACAACTATGTATTTTTTTACCCTGTTGGTGTTAATTTAAACAGATCAGTGTCTATTGAATTAATGAATCCTATTTGTCATTCAGGGAAGTAGGTTTATTTTGACATACGAAATTGAAGATTTATTTGAAGGCTACCAATTTGCCAAATGTTAAAATAGTTATTTCTTCCCTGAGATGGGATGGTTTCAGAAGTTGAAGAGTACTATATTTATCAAATTGGCCCCTTTCAAGGAAACTTTAATCACTCAACATCCATATTTGCAATACCTCCGGCCAGATATATCAGGCATACCAAGACCAAGTACTGTCTCTTAGTAAAGAAATAGTAAAATCTCAAAAACACATTTAAGCGACATACTTCATATCAGTATCAAAATCTGACATGATCATCAGTAGCAAATCATACTAAAGTAGCAAGCACACTAGAATTCAATGAAGTCTTCCCAAACCTGCCAAGAAGTTTAGTAAAAAAAAAAACTTTCTCATAGATTTTGTTTTTAATGCTAAAATAACATTTAAATTGTTGCTGTTATGCGATGATTTTAGTTACCATTTATCTTATGTATCTTATTTATTTTTTCTTGAATTCTGTGATTTGTTTTTGTTTTTCTGTGACTTTCTTCTATTCAAAATAATGGGCATCAAAACGAAACAAATGTCCCAAAAAATAAATCAATGAATGTAACGCTTTGATTTTGGATGGTTGTGGTTGGCTATTCATCAATCTCTTAATATTTTTTATCGCAATAGCCAAAAATACCTTGTATGGGTCAAAATTATCAAAAAGATATCAAACAATGCATTGCAAAGCACATCATTAAGACAAATTTACAGGTCTTTTTTTCAGTATTTACATTTTCTTTTTCAGGAACGCTTCCAGGTTTTCAAATAGTTACATCTCAGCCATATCTTAATAAAGTATACGTTAATAGAAACCTTATTAATTTGTGATCTATAAATCTCAATTTAAAAAAAAACTCACACTTATGACTGGTTTTGTGTTTAATGATAAAAGAATGCTGTGATGTTTCAGTGATGGCAAGACTGCTAAAACCCCATGCTCTGAGTTAAAAGCCAAGGTCATGAAGAAGGAAAAGAAGAAGGTTGTGTATCGGGAGCCACCAGATGGCGGGTGGGGTTGGATGGTGGTTCTGCATTGTTTCCTGGTATGTCGTGAGTCCTGCGGTTATAGACTTTGATTTAAAGCTTGTTTGCTGTGATACAACTCCATCGATCTAAACTCAACTGAACTCTGCCGTGTCTTTTCAGGTGAACGTGCTGGTTATGGGTACACTGAAGACCTTTGGGATCTTCTTCGTGGCTCTGCAGGATGAATTTGGAGGGTCATCCGAGAGCATCAGCTGGATTGGATCCATCATGTCCAGCCTCAGGCTTTCCGGAGGTATGGTCAATATAAACAGCCATCTTTGATCAGCATGATTGGTTGTGACCTCAATTTTGTTTGTAACCCTTAGGTCCATTGGCTTCAGTGGCCTGTGCAAAGCTGGGGAATAGGGTTACCTCCATAGTGGGGGCGCTTTTTGTTAGTGCTGGCTTTCTGTTCAGCATATTTGCCACCAGCGTGACCTACCTTTACATTAGCATGGGGTTAGTTGTTGGTGAGTATTTGATTTTAAATGTTGATGCTAAGATTATTATGCAAAAAGTCATTCACAAACTTGATTTTTCCAGGACTCGGGTTTGCTCTTCTTTATCAGGCCACATCTGTTGTAATAGTGACCTATTTCCGAAAGAGGCTGGCAACGGCATATTCCATTGGACGCTCTGGCATGGGTCTGACCTTTGCCCTCGCTCCATTCACTCAGCTACTTTTGGATCAGTATGCTTGGCAGGGTAATTGGCATTCAGCTACATTACTGTTAAATTTGGAATATCAGCATACAATTATATCTAATAATCATGTTTGTTTTTTGTTAAATATGTATCATAGATGTTTTAAGCACCAAAACAATAAAAATGTTAAAAAAAAAAAAAAAACTTTACAATTTTACACTTTAGTTTTTTCTTGTGGTTTTTGATAATATATTAAAAGACCCCTTAAAAGAATTTAAGAATCATAGCTCAGCCCCAAAAGTACTTCTTAATAAACTAGTATTAAACATTTTAAATATATTAAATTTAGTATGAACATTTATTCTATTATATATTTGAAAAAAAAGATTGATTAGTGCCAAGATCAGACTGCATGAATTTAGCCCCGATATAGCTCGCCAACAGAAATCGATGACAAATGTCCGAAATCACAGGCAAACCGGTGCTCGTTCACACGAGTAACAATCACACAGTGTGAAGCTGGAAACTGGATACCTCCGCTGACTGCGCGCACACCTCTTTGAGATATTCATTCTAAAGAAACTGACCGTAAAGTCAGGCGGATAAACAAAGAAGTCAAAATTTTCTGGAACTACGTCATATCATTAATATCATTTAATATTTTTAAACAAATTTTTATAAATTATTTTAATAATTATAAGGATTTTTATAAACACTCAATATTTGTTTAATCAAACTTTGATGCATCATTTGCTTTTTTTTTTTTACTTGTTAAAGTTTATTAAAATATTAAAGACAACAGAATATGGGTTGCTCTACAAATATAATTTATTATGGCAGGAATAAAAGCAAAAAAGGACACTCTAAAAAAAATTTTTTTTTAGATTTAGATTTGGCCCACTTCACAATTTACACATTACAGCCTGGCTAGTTTGTCTTCTTATGCTAAAAGGCATTAATGGTCCAACATTCCTGACCATTATCACCAATAAAGCCTAGAAAAACAGGGCATCAGTATATAGTACACCAATAGGTTCAAATATTCCTTTCTAGTTATCAAAGAAATAATTTATTCCTTAATTATAGTTTTGTAACTATTAAATTGTTTTAAATTCAAAATTGTAATATCTACATCAGTGTAAAACCTATGACTGGTGGAAAAACATATTCTGTAGTTGTGTACCCGGGTCTCCATTTCTTCTATGGCCTCTTATAGCTTTAACAAACTTATCCCTCAGCTTTTTCAAAACTTTTTAACAAAAAAGTTATTTCTTTCCCACTGCTGTTGCAGTTTCTAGCAAAGAATTATTGATCACGGATCATAAAGATGTCTGAACAGGCGTACCTGTTTCAGACAAAATCTCTTCAAAATTATTCATTTTCAACTCAAATCAAACGCGGCACCAAGCGAACTGTTCGCTCAAGTTTAAAAAAAAAATTATGCACTCCACCAGCCGAAATCATGTCGCATGCACTGATAGCGAACCTCCGCAAACACAGCGATGACATCACATTTGCCGCACACGCTCAACTCTTAACTAGCGGACATTAAGTATAAACCAGGCTTGAACTATCAAAGACGTGATCTGAGGGAATCGCCAATGAGTCTCTGACACCCCTGAGATATTTGGCATGCTAAATATTTGGACCTGTCGCCGAATAAAAAACATGGCATGTGAAATGTGTTCTGATTGAAAAAAAAACATTGGCGATCAACTGCAGCCAATGAGAGAGCAGCATTCAGTAGTATGGGTATCTGCAGGCCAGCAGGAGGTTGAGGAAGAAGTAAAAAGTGCTTCTTTTCAGTCTAATTGAACCCAAAAAATAGAGGACAAACTAGTGTAAATTTGGCAGGAGCACCCGTGTCTGTTTGACGTGTATCTGAGCAATATCCCAACTGGCTAGATAAAAAAATAAGTTGAGGAGAAATTGCTTATTCCCTTCAAAATCCAGGTGAGCAAAATAAGGACATTTTCTACCCCACTAAAGGCTTCTTTCTCAGTATGTAGTTAATAACAAAAGATATACTACTTGACCTCATGTTGTTTCAATGCCACTTCTCGCATGTGTTTGGTTGTGAGACGTAGTTTGCGGACCAAGACAAAGTTGTAGGAGATTTTTCCTATTTTAACGTCATGCAATGTGAAACCTCGTCGCCGATCCATCCGGCAGTGTAAACACAGCAGTGAAGAAACGCTACCCCAGATAGTCATGCAATGTAAAAATATCTGTAACACGACTACTTTGAAAATCGTGCAGTCTGAACTCTGCATAAGTGTAAAGTTTGCAAAAATTGTGCCAAACGACAATGAAACGTAAATGCACTATATATCAATTTTTACATTTAATTTAACAAGTTTTTTACACTTTTTTATAATGAAAATGCAATTTAGAGATTATAATTCATGATTTAAAAATGCCAGGGAGATACAAAAATACCAAAGTAATGACACGAATATATAAAATAAAAATGTCACTATTGTCACTGACAGACTTCTGTTCTGTATTTAGGAGCACTGCTGATTTTGGGTGGTCTAATGCTGAACCTGGTGGCTTCTGGGATGCTTCTGCGGCCCATTAACATTAGACATCCAGCTTCACCCATTTCAAACTCCACCATTCATAAGACTAAGAAAGATTCTCTCAAAAACAATATGAATGGCAACACGCCAGTAGCCAATGGCACTTCCAAATCAGACAGCTCACCCCCCATTCACAAAGACACACTTATAATAAAAAACCCCGTTCACGAGCAGAACTCTCTCCCTCACCTGGATCTCAAAAAACCCACCCAGAATGGAGTGAACGGAACGGACAGCAGCCAAACTAAAACTTCCCCCGAGATGAATGGGGTTTCTCCTGTGGATTCATTACTTGAGAACGGCAGAACAGAAAATGTGCCTGAAAACTCCCCAAAAGTGCTGGACTTCTCTCTGTTGAAGAACCCTTTCTTTTGCATCTACACCTGGTCGCTGGTCTTCAGTCAGCTGGCCTATTTCATCCCTTATTTTCACTTGTCTGCGAGAGCCCGGAATCTGGGAATCGACCCCATGGATGCTTCCTTCATCATCTCTGTGGCTGGTGAGTCTTATTATGGAACCCTAGAGTCATGTTTTTGCACCGTCATCCCTTTGAAATATTAAGTGCTTTTAGCAGAATTCATCTTGCATTAGTATGGAAATCATTTGTGATTACATTTAACAAGTAACCTATTTTGAGCGTGCTGTACTCAGACTCAGCATGTTTGTTAGTGTTGTCCTCTGTCTGCAAGCGTACACTAGTAATGCGTAACAGTAGAGGAAATCAATAAGCTGTAAGCCCTGCTGTGGAAAATGGAAAGACGAAAGGCAGCATAATGACAGTCCTAGTGGACAGTCTGAAATAGATGCTGTTTTTTTCTGGTTTCATCAATGCTGTATTCCAGGAAAGCCATTATGTTGTACCTAAGAGATGCACTACGGCCGTTGTGCTTCACAGCAAGATGTGATCTAAGATGGGCTTTAAAGGGTGGATGCAAAAACGCAGCCAAGTTCGCATTAATTATTTGTGGGCATTTTAAAATCTGCAGTGTTATGCAATGAGTGCTCTTACATAAAAAATGAACTTTGGCCCAGTGGCTAAAACTAGAGGGTGTCCCATCAATAATGCCCCACTGAATGAATGAGACGTTATTTATTTAAAAAATAATTATTAATGTTTTAAACCAAAAGATCAAATTATTAATGTATTATTTCTTTGTAGGCTTTAGAAACCCTTATGTGCGACACCAGTGTTTGTCATGTGAATTGCAGCCTGAAACTTATTGCTCGCTCTCGCTTGTGCACATGTAATGTACAAGAGAGAGACTCAGTGTTACTGATATGCTCGTGTTCTTTGTTGTAAATACCATCCAAACACTTTCCACACTGCTGAGAACAACATTTTGATGAATACGTAATTGTGCTCCGTTAAGAAAATAAACAAAACAAATTGGCCGTGGCCTAAAATTAGAAGCAGTGTATAGAAATAAATTGCTGCAGATTTTACACTACTTGCTTACATCATTTATTGATTTGTTTGTTTACAGTTTCTCAAGTTTATTAACAAACAAATCAGAAAGTAACTTAAATTTTAGGTATAAACGGAAGGGTATAAACAGAGGTGAGACTTGAACTTCAAGTGAGCTGTACAAAACTGGACATTTTATTTATTTAATAAATACAAAATTTATGTATCCAACATGGGTGTCTTAAGTAGCAAAAATATACAGTTGAAGTCAGAATTATTAGCCCCCCTGAATTATTAGCACCCCTGTTTATTTTTTCCCCAATTTCTGTTTAATGGAGGGAAGATTGTTTCAGCACATTTCTAAGCATAATAGTTTTAAAAACTTATATCTTTTAACTGATTTATTTTCTCTTTGTCATGATGACAGTAAATAATATTTTACTTGATATTTTTCAAGACACTTCTATACAGCTTAAAGTGACATTTAAAGGGTTCACTAGGTTAATAAGGTGGACTAGGCAGGTTAGGGTAATTAGGCAAGTTATTGTATAATGATGGTTTGTTCTGAAGATTATGGAAAAAAAAATAAGCTTAAAGGGGCTAATATTTTTGTCCCAAAAATGGATTTTAAAAAAATTTAAAACTGCTTTTATTCTAGGCGAAATAAAACAATTAAGACTTTTTCCAGAAGAAAAAATATTATCAGACATACTGTGAAAATTTTCTTGCTCTGTTAAAATCGTTTGGGAAATAATTTAAAGAGAAAAAAAAATCAAAAGGGGGCAAACTGTACCTTGTATGCGTTGTGTCATCACTTATAAGGCAAGTTATATCTCTCCGGCCCCTCATTTGGGATGTTTTTCATGAACTGGCCCCCATGACAAACTAATTGAATAGCCCTGGTCTACACCTACCCCAACCCTAAACCCAGCCTCATAGTAACCTGTTGTGTATCAATAACGTCTACACCTGCTCCAACCCTAAACCCAACCTCACAGTAACCTCTTGTGTTTTATTAGATTAGATTAGATTAGATTAGATTCAACTTTATTGTCATTACACATGTACAAGTTCAATGCAACGAAATGCAGTTTAGGTCTAACCAGCAGTGCAATAGCAGCAAGTGCAGGATACAGGAATAAGTTATAAAGTGCAGTTATAGAAAACTATGGTGATATTTACAGATGGGATGGATGTACTATGAACATTATATACAGGTTGGATAAGCTATGAACAGATTTACAATATTATTAACGTCTACACCTAACCCAACCCTTAACCAAACCTCACAGTAACCTCTTGTGTTTCAATAACCTAAACCCAGCCCACTTGTGGCATCAGTCCCTCCCACTTTGAGGTCACCCCACCTACTTGCGGTGTAAATCCTCCCATTTGGAGGATACCTTGGATACCTTGGAGGATACCTAGTTGAGTTTGGATAGATTTAAATTCATTCTATTGTGATTACTACTTTAGTATGATTCATTTTAAGCGTGAACACCAAACAAGTGAAGTGAAAACCCTGTAATAAACTCTGATGTTGGTTAAATTAAATATGAATGCAACATGAACCAAAGACATCTATATGAACCAAAAACAGGTCATGATGTCATATATGACCATAAACAGGGCAGAGGATACTGGTTTTTATCATACAATTTAATACAGCTTTGGAAATGGGTGGCTGACATGGTGGCTCAGTGGTTAGCACTGTCATCTCACAGCAAGAAGGTCGCTGGTTTGAGTTCCGGCTGGGTCAGTTGGCATTTCTGTATGGAGTTTGCATGTTCTCCCTATATTCACAAGGGTTTCCTCCAGGTGCTGCTGTTTCCCCACAGTCCAAAGACATGCAGTGTAGGTGAATTGAATAAACTAAATTGGCCATAGTGTATGTGTGTGTGTAGGTGTTTATGCTGTATGCTGTGGTATTTTTTGTAGATGTTTTCATTCACTTAGTGCTGTGTTGCACACTGCACAGAAGCTCATTTTCAAAAACCCATTATAGGGGATCTTTAAAAAGCTTAGCAAGAGAAATATTTTTCTTTGACCTCCAATGTTTTTTCACCACTAAGTCCTTTTAGGGGTCCATACAAGTGGATGATGGATTTCCGAGGTGCACTTTTTAGTGTTTACACACCACACGCAACATTGATAGCGTAGAAGAGTCCAAAAGTATGCAAATTGGGAAACACCTCAAACATTCCAAAGCTCCCCCTCCTCCTCCCACCTGCAGTCTGAGGGCTGTTTTCACATTGGTCAGAGTGAGCAGAAAACTAAAGCTCCGGCTCCTCGTGGCAGGTCACTCGCTGAGCCAAGTCGCTAAGCAACAGTCCAAGTAGCTGCCGTGAGGTTTGGTGCTTCTGTGCCCAGTTCTGAAGTGCCTGACATTGTGTTGCCGCCACTGAGGCAGCAATGTGGACAAAAGAGTGCGGGGAGACCAGCCAAACACGTTTTGTGTTTTAATGAGCTGGTAGCGATCGGACACGCATTTGGGCGCTCTGTACCTCAGTGAGGGCCTATTGTAGGTCTTTGATGTAGTGGGGACACTGCATTCGTCCAGTTCTTTTGTGTCCTCTGAGTGAAGTGCACAAAGACACAAACACCTGTCACATGCCCGATTACCCGGGTGGAAGTCCTCCTGTATTCTTCAGAGTTTTGTGGACCTCCATTTTCCTACTTTTTGTCACTGAGATTCATTGTGCAAACGCTTGACAGGAACAGCTGTAAACTCAATGGCCCTGCTGGGATTTAAACACACAAACAATGCAAAAAATGTCTTCGGGTCCAAGCGAGGCACACCAGGACGTCACCTTTAGTGGCGCACCGAGGACATGCAAACATCGAGCAGCTGTTTTGTCTTATGTCTGGCCAGCAATAAATGACCCCCACATGTGCATCAGTTCTACATGAGCCGGACACTATGAGGAGTCATGCTAACAGCTTTGTAAATCTATAGGACTTTATGAATGAATAACAGAGGACATGTGATGGTATGTTTTGTGTTTCACCAGGCTGCACATGAGCAGTGAATGTCACATTCTGCATCTGTTGCATATGTCTGAATATGCAATAGTGCTGCCTCAGGTCTTCTCCTGGACTTCTCAATAAAGCTTTGCTGCATATAAACACACAGTCAGAACTGCGGCACAGACAGCAAATACAAACCAGCACATCATGGTTGTGGCTGTTATCGTAGCAAATGTTCCTGTGCTGTCACTAAATTATAAATAGATTGCAGAGGCTTTATGTGAAGTAACTTTTGGATTTGCTTGAATTTACATGTTGCTGAAGTTATATTTAAACAGCCGGACTTAGTGATTTGGGGGCTATAAGTAACTCCAGGTATTGGGCCAAGCATTTTTGAATAATAAACTGCATGTTAAAAAGTGTGTGTATGTGTGTGTGTGTGTGCGTGTGCGTGCCCTCCTGTTTATTTTTTTCCCCATTTTCTGTTTAACAGAGATTTTCTCAACATATTTCTAAACATAATAGTTTTAATAACTCATTTCTAATATCTGATTTATTTTATCTTTGCCATGATGATAGTAAATATTATTTTACTAGATATTTTTCAAGACACTTTTAAACAGCTTAAAGTGACATTTAAAGGCTTAACTAGGTAAGTTAGGGTAATTAGGCAATTATTATTTATTATTATTTTTAAAATTATTTATTTATTTTAAAAATATAGCTTAAAGGGGCTGATAATTTTGATTATTTTCATTAAAAACTGCTTTTATACTAGCTAAAATAAAACAAATAAGACTTTTTTCCAAAAGAAAAAATATTATTAGGCATACTGTGAAATTTCCTTTTTTCTGTTAAACATCATCTCGGTAATATTTAAACAAGAAAAACAAATTTCAACTGTATATAAAATATATTTTATATTTTTAATATTTAAATGAACCATTATCTTCCTAATGTAAAATTAAAAGCAATAAAAGAACTAATAAAAAAAAACAAGTTCACAAACTTTGCAGGGGTGTCCAAACTCGGTCCTAGAGGGTTGGTGTCAGATTTTAGCTCTAACTTGTCTCAACAAACCTGCACAAATGTTTCTAGAAAGCCTACTAAGAGCTTGATTAGCTAGCCCAGGTGTGTCTGACTGGGGCTGGAACTAAACTTTGCAGGACACTGGCTCTCTAGGACAAAGTTTGGGCACCCCGATGTACAGTTAATTAGCCATTTTTGTGATTAGATTTTAATAGTAATAATAATGAAAAACAATTTTCATAATTTTTCATATGAATTGAGTATTTGCTGAATGCGTGGCCGTTACTGTTCATTGGGAACAAGCCCATGATCTCTTAACATGCTCACAGCGCACATCATCTGACAGGTGTTTCGGCCAGACAGCAGCAAAAATAATTGGTCTATTTAAATTATTACATTTAAAACAGAGGAGAAGCAGATGGGTTTGACTGTACCAAGGAAATACCTCACACTTGCTGTGCTAAAACAATTGCCATCGACATGAAGAGGAATGATCAGCTTTTAAGGCTGCAGGTGTGACAGATGGCTATGTGGCACTATGCCGCCTTTGAGTGCTTTGAGGTGGGGGAGAAGACCGATGACATCACCTGCAGCTCATTGCGAAGAGTAATGCTAGGAATGTTACAGCACAGACATATGAGAGTCTCTAAAATTCTCCTGTAACTCCTAAAACATTTGTTAGTTGGTTTTTTGAAAATTTTGCGCTAGGGGGGCCTGAAAAGTCGCTAAGTTGGCAACAATGGTTGGCAGTAACGTTAGTGTCTTTGATTGAAGCGCTCACACCTCGCACATGTGCAGTGCGGACAGAATGTTCCATTATTCATGGAGGCCTCCCGATTTTGAAAATAAGTAATAACATTCAAATCTTAACAGTTCTAGACAGATTTTACAACATATGGAAGAAAATGTATAAAAGAGCTATATGATTAATAAAGGGTTCTTGGCATTGGTCGGGCACCCTAATTTCCCGGGGTCCTAAGCGGCTGCTTAACTCGCTTATTGGTTAAGTCTGCCTCTGTTCATATTACCAGGCTGCATTTATTTGATCAAAAATACAGAAAAAGAGTAACACTGCAATATAGTTTTTCCAATGTAAAACTTCTCTGTTTAGAACATTTTAAAATGTTGTTCATTTTTGTGATGGCAAATCTAAATTTTTAGCATCGTAATTGCAGTTCTTACAGTCACACATTCAGTCAGAAAGTTATTCTAATATGCTGATTTGCTATTTCCACTGTTGATAACAAACTATTGTTTCAAATAAATTCTTCTCCTTTTCATTATTTCCTATTGAGATAAAGCAGCCTTCTGGATAAATGTGTTGACTTTAATTATTAGATTGTTCATCCTTGTAAAGCGGCTTTAATAGTATAAAGCACTATAAAAAAGGTAACTTGACAAAACGTAATATAAAGGTAACTTGAAAAAACGTTATAAATTGTTATGTAAATAAACATGACTTGACTGGAAGCTGAAATTCAGTTTGTGTGCAAACATCTACATTGGTTTTATCAGATGAATATTAAACTGCTGTTTTCTCACTGTTGAAGTAGTTAGATATGGTTATTTTGTGATGGAGAAGTGCAAGCATTTCTATATTCATCTAAATGCCACTCTTCCTGCTAATATGAGGAAGAGGCACTAATTATTGTGCTCATTTATAAAGATGTACTCATTCATGAATGTTTTGCTAGTTGTGCTCAATCTACTACAGTTCTGCAACACTGTATACGAATGAAACCTTTGTAGAATCTAACACTCGGTGCTCAGTTTTCAGTTCAACAGCTTTTCTCTGTGACAGGTATAACAGAGACGGTGGCTCAGCTTGCATCTGGCTGGGTGACGGACAGGAATCTGGTGCATAAATATCATTATCATAAAGCTTACCTGATCCTGTGCGGTGTGGTCAACCTTTTGTCTCCTCTGGCCACCTCGTACATCTTGCTCATGGTTTACGCTGTCTTTTTTGCCATCTTCTGTGGAGGGTACATGGCTCTCCTGCTTCCTGTACTGGTGAGTACTGAACATGAACCATTTTCACAATAAAGAAAATTCTTTCAGAGATCATGAAGAGTTAGAATATACAGATTCAGCACCAGTCAAACAGGATGCCAGTCAGGACCAAATCATGTGCTATAAAAAGTGATTAGTTGCTTTACTTAAAAAAGTGAGTAAAACTTTCCTTTTAAAGAATCAAGTTGACTTAACTTAAAAAGCGAATTAAGCCTTTCCCTTGAAAGAATCAAATTGACTTAACTTAAAAAAAAAGAGTAAACTCACCACTTTGAAAGCAAGTTCACTTAACTTAAAGTGAGTAAACCCATTTCTTTGAAAGCATCAAGTTGACTTAACTTAAAAATTGAGTTAACCATTTTCCTTTAAAGCATCAAGTTGTCTTAAATTTAAAAAGTGAGTAAACCCTTTCCCTTTAAAGCATCAAGTTGACTTAACTTAAAGTGAATAAACCCATTACTTTGAAAGTATCAAGTTGACTTAACTTTAAAATTGAGTTAACCCTTTTCCTTTAAAGCATCAAGTTGACTTAACTTTAAAAAGTGAGTAAACCCATTACTTTAAAAGCATCAAGTTAACTTAACTTAAAAAGTGAGTAAACCCATTGCCTTTAAAGCAGGGGTCACCAATCTCGGTCCTGAAGGGCAGGTGTCCCTGCAGGGTTTTGCTCCAACTTGCCTCAACACACCTGCCTGATTGTTTCAAGTATACCTAGTAAAACCTTGATTAGCTTGTTCTGGTGTGTTTGATTAGGGCTGGAGTTAAAATCTGCAGGACACCGGCGCTCCAGAACCGAGATTGGTGACCCCTGCTTTAAAGCATCAAGTTGACTTTACTCAAAAAAAATGGTAAACCCTTTATTGTGAAATCATTAAGTTGACTGCACTTAAAAAAGTAAGTGCACATTTACATTCTGGACCTGTTGCATATGTCTGAATATGCAATAGTGCTGCCTTAGGTCTTCTCCTGGACTGTTTAATAAAGCTCTGCAGCAAATAGACACACAGTCAGAACTGCGACACAGACAGCAAATACAAACCAGCTCTGAACACTTTGTACAGCACATCATGGTTGTGGTTGTTATCGGAGCAAATGTTCCTGTGATGTCACTAAATTATAAATAGACTGAAGAGGCTTTACGTCAGATGTCAATTAAGTAAAAATAAACCTAATGATGTTTTTCATGTTGCTTAAGTTACACTATTTACACCATCCTTCACACCAGTTTTGTGTTTCTGAGATTTGTATTATTGTTGATAGATGTCTCATATGCTTGCAAAGCTGCATTTATTTAATCAAAAATACAGGGAACAAGTAATTTTGCATAATAGTTTTTCAATGTAAAATTTCTCCATTTAATACATTAAAAGCATTAAGTTGACTTAACTTTTAAAATTAAGTAAACATGTTGCCTTTAAAGCGTCAAGTTGACAACTTGAAAAATGAGTTCACATTTACAATCTGGATCTGTTGCGTATGTCTGAATATTCAATAGTGCTGCCTCAGGTCTAACTCATTGGCTTGAAAGTGACAACTGTGGACTCTCAGACTCAAGCATGGGTCAAATTTCAAAATAGGATTTGGACTTAACACAGGGTATTTCTTTTCACTTTCACTTTCTTTTTTTTATTTGTTTGAGTCTGGCTCTTGATTACTTGTAGGGTCCAGCCAGTTGGCCCAATGACGGTATCCACTGGTGGATGAAGGTTCACTGCATGTTCTGCCTTTCCAGTGCACAATGTTGATCTATATTAAACTTAACTCATATCTGACTCCAATTTTAGTATGAGGTGGTTTAGAATATTAATATATTTATCCTCGTTTTATCTGACTCCAATTATAAAACATTGAGAAGATTATTTTGTTTCCTTTCACATTATTTTAGATTATGATTGAATATTCTTTTGATTTGTTATTATACCTTATTCTCATTTACTCAGATTCCTATAGCATCCCGAGTCTTGCACCGGCCGGGTATACAATCTCTTAATACAAGCTTGTCAGTCTTGGTCATTAAACAGAGGCGATTAACCACTCTCCTAAAAAGGCAGAACCCTATACTTACTCAATTTAGGAGATTTTTATGTGGTCCCCATAGATCTGTTATCTACTTAATCAAGACAAAGTATTTTAATAATAATCGCACAGGATTATAAGTTTGTAGATGAAGGCCTAAATATCCACATTTAAAGTAGTTTCAACAATATTTTGTTGTTCTAAATAGTTGTCCTTTTACAGTCTAAGTATACTTGAATTAATGCCAATTTGTTTGTCGGATCTCTAACAACATTGTATAGCGTGCCACGCTGCTCCGTCTAACATGTTTTAGTCCGTTACTAACCTGTACAGTGGCTTGTAGTGCTATGGACAACAACATTTATCAGTGATAATAACACGAGGTTTGAATAATTCAAAACATAATTTATTAGTCAGGTAAATGTATTATGCCAATTCAATCAGTCAATTCATAAACGATCAATACAAAACATCAAATTATCAAAGACAAATCCAAGATGAAAAAGATGCATTCCTGACTTCAAAAATATACATAACATGGAGCAAGCCATGTTATGGGCTGATCTGGTTAGGCAGAATCGCCCTGAGCCTTTCTCTAACCTTACCTTAAATAATCCAAGAATTCCTTCAAGGAAGGGGGTGTGTATAACAAAAGGCGTTCACACTTGGTGCTGCATGTGGAAAGTCACACCCTACACAGTGGTTCAAAAGATGCCTGAAGTTATATATTTATTGTTTTGATTATGTCTATTTCTGAGAGAATGAGACCATTGTACCAATCGTACTGAGACATTTCAAATGATATCAAACATGATAGTTAAAGTCAGTTTGGTTAATCTAGAACATTCAAACATTGAAATGACCATATGTGTGAGATGGGGTGGATGAATCCGAGTTTCAGCAGACTCAGATGCAAATGCAGCAGGAACTGGTTTTTCCCGCATTCCCACCTGCTGGGTTGTGAAGTCACCAGTCTCTGTTCTCAGCTCATGTTTTGAATTGTCAAAGATATAAAAATATTTGCAATATTTCAACTCTTACAGTAACCAAGAGTAAAAATCTGTTTTGGGCAGTTCTCCTGAAATGGTGTGTGCATGACCAGTGCAACATTTGAGTTTAATTTAACCCTTTTACAAGTAAATTGTAAATATCTCAGCTATATTGAGTTATTTAGAATGCATAACTTTTATATTTCCATGGCAATGTGTCTGGTTTATGCCCATATATGCCATAGCCCCATGCACTGCAATGGAGATTAGAGCTGCTGGATTTATAGCACATCGCTAAGCAGAAGTTGCTGCACTTGTGCACTGTTAACTCGTTAACCTCAACAAACTCAGGATTTGTTTACAGAAAAGATCAATGCAAAAATATATTAATTGCTTTTTTTAGTGTTTCTTCAATCTATTTTCAGATATATTGATGATATGTTGATGTAGATTTCTAAGCATATTGCATAGTTTGGAAAGTGGAAATGTTTTATATTAGCTTTCAATTGCATACTTATTGAGACATGCAAAGGAGAAATTATTCTGCAAATGTCCCCTTCCTACACTACTTTTGGTCAATCTACATTTACCAGCCACTTTATTAGGTACACCTGTCCAACTGCTTGTTAATACAAATTTCTAAACAGCCAATCACATGGTAGCAGCTTAATGCATTTAGGCATGTAGACATGGTCAAGACGATCTACTACAGTTCAAATCAAGCATCAGAATGGGGAAGAAAGGTGATTTAAGTGACTTTGAACATGGCATGATTGGTGCCAAATCGGCTGGTTTGAGTATTTCAGAAACTGCTGATCTGCTGGGATTTTCATGCACAACCATATCTAGGGTTTACAGAGAATGGTCCGAAAAGAAAAATATCCAGTGAGCAGCAGTTCTGTTGGCACTAATGCCTTGTTGATGCCAGAGATCAGAGGAGAATGGCCAGACTGGTTGAAGCTGATAGAAAGGCAACAGTAACTCAAATAACCACTCGCTACAACCGAGGTATCCAGAAGAGCATCTCTGAACGCACAACATGTCAAAGCTTGAGGCAGATGGGCTACAGCAGCAGAAGACCACACCAGGTGCCACTCCTGTCAGCTAAGAACAGGAAACTGAGGCTACATTTGCACAGGCTCACCAAAATTGGACAATAGAAGATTGGAAAAATGTGGCCTGGTTTGATGAGCCTCAATTTCTGCTGTGACATTCGGATGGTAGGGTCAGAATTTGGTGTCAAATACATTAAAGCATGGATCCATCCTGTCTTGTATCAATGGTTCAGGCTGGTGGTGGTGTAAAGGTGTGGGGGATATTTTCTTGGCACACTTTGGTCCCATTAGTACCAATTGAGCATCGTGTCAACTTCACAGCCTACCTGAGTATTGTTGCTGACCATGTCCATCTCTTTATGACCACTGTGTACCCATCTTCTGATGGCTACTTCCAGCAGGATAATTCCAGCCATGTCATAAAGCATGAATCATCTCAGACTGGTTTCTTGAACAAGACAATGAGTTAACTGTACTTAAATGGCCTCCGCAGTCACCAGATCCCAATCCAATAGAGCACCTTTGGGATGTGGTGAAACGAGAGATTTACATCCTGGATATGCAGCTGACAAATCTACAGCAACTGCGTGATGCTATCATGTCAATATGGACCAAAATCTCTGAGGAATATCTCCAGTACCTTGTTGAATCTATGCCATAAAAGATTAAGACAGTTCAGAAGGCAAAAAGTGGTCTAACCCGGTACTAGTAAGGTGTACCTAATAAATAAAATGGCTAGTGAGTTTTTATTATATATAATAAACCCATAACAAAAAAAACTAATTTAAGCAGAGTGCAAATAGTGTTGTGTGCTGTTTACACAATAGGTGAAAATAGCAGTGTAAATAGGGTTAGATGTTATTTGCACACACTCCAAATAAGGAACAAGAAAACAATAACCTCAGTGTAGTGTAATATGTTGTGAAAACATTATCCAGTATATTCAGTGTACATGAGTCATGACTATCCTAACCTTACCATATCTAAATATTTAACCTGATGATTAGTAAAGGGTGAATGAATGTGTTTCAGGAGGTCCAGGAGGAAAACCGTGATTAAATGTGTTTTTAAACCCACTTTTAAAGAGTCATGATTGCTTTAGTTATTTTTTATAACTTATAATTTTCTTTCTAATAAATATTTGTTAATTGTTTACATTTGAATTATTTTTAATTTATTTTAGTTTTATTTTAAATAAATGTACCTTGGGCTTAAGAAGAAAGTGGATTAGGTAAAGTAGATAACCGATAACCTTTGGTTTGTCATGTCAAAAAGTAGAATAATTGTTTATCTGGTTTATCTGTCTGGTTTCAGCAGTCAATGGCTGATTGAGCTAGTGTAAACAGCCTTTACCAATAAGATCACTTATTACAAAAAGAAACAGAATTTTCTCTGTTAATACACTCAAAAAAAGACTTTTGCTGCTTGCTCAAGCTAATTATTTAAAACAAGTTGAAACAGCACAATTTGTAAGTTTTTTGCGTGATAGAGTAATTGTTTTATGTTCAATCCACTTAAATGTGTAAACATTATTAAGTTAACCTAATCAATTTGTTTTGGAACAACCTAAAAGAATTGTGTGGAATCCAGCATTTTTACAGTTTAGTTTTGGCACTAAGGGACTTTTCAAAGCTGCCAGATTTACCAGCAGTTTTAATATGTCCTAGGTGTCGTGACCCCAGCTGTGGTCATTAAAAATGCATGTGTGGAACATCAAGGTTTGAACACATAGTAATGCTGAGTACTGCTTCTTTCACTTTCATGTGCTCTTCTCTCTAGTATTGAGTTCATGTTCTGTAATACTGTGAAGGCCAGTGTAAGGAGAGAGGGATCGACAGGCAGACTGCTCCTCTGGAAGGAATCTTAGGTTTTACCTTTCAAATATTTTTACAACCTATGGAAACATTCTGAGTGAACCAGATAGACAGAGTTAGAGCTTAAAAAGCCCATGGGGGAAAACAGTGTGTTGACAACGCGCAACCGTATTTTAAATAGACACTGGTCAGGCAAAATGCAGCACAAAGTCATTGCTTGTTATTACTTGCAGATGTAAAATGCAATTCTGCTTGTCTATTAAGCATTTCAAATCATTTTCATTCTGTACTATGTTGGAAATGTTCAGGTCAAATGAAATATATATACCACTAGTCAAATGATTGTTTTTTTGTTTCATCAAATATTTAAAAATAAGTAAATTAAATAATAAAACTTTACTGTTCCGATCAAATATGACATTACAGTTTTATTTTTTTTACAAAAATTTTTGCATTTAAAAAATAATTGATGTTGTTATGGTGGCTTGAAAAAGCCAACATACTGTTAAACTCCATAAACCTAATATTCTTCTTTTCTGAGACTAATTTCTATATGCATCTCCTCCTAGACCATTCATACTCGACCACCAAACTAGCACCAAACCTCCAAACTGGTCTGAATCGGTCCGTTATATCTTTTCCAACTGATCCGACTTACGGTTTTCCGAAAACTGACCTAAAAAATTCGGAAAAGTCCCATTGACTTAACATTGGACCAAACTTTGTGACCTCATAACTTTTTGCCAGACTGTTAAACAGGCTTAGATTTGGGCTCATTTAACTCAGATTACTAATCTGCCAACTGGTGATGACCTTTCAACTTTTTAGCCACACCCTAGCAACCACTTACGGCACCTCAGCAAATTTCCCATAGACTTCCCATAGACTTTACATTGGACATACAAACAACTTACCAATCCATACCAGTAATATACTAATCCATACTAGAAGCATACTAACAAACATACTAATCATACTAACAGCATGTTAATTCATAATAAATTCATGCTAAAAAACATTCATTCATTCATTTCCTTGTCGGCTTAGTCCCTTTATTATTCTGGGGTCACCACAGCGGAATGAACCGCCAACTTATCCAGCAAGTTTTTATGCAGCGGATGCCCTTCCAGCCGCAACCCATCACTGGGAAAATGCTAAAAACATGCTAGTGTATACTAGAAACATGCTAGCAACATGCCAATTCATACTAGAAACATGCTAATTTATGTTAGCAACTGCCTAGCAACCACTCAGAACAACTTAGCAACTGCCTAGCAACACCTTAGCAACCACTCAGAACACCCTAGCAAAGCCTTAGCAAGAAACATGCCAATCCATACTAGCAACATGGTAACATATATGTACTTATCTATCCCGACTGTTGCAAACCTCTTTAACTACTTCAATGATTTAAACTTTAAGGCAACTTCAAACTTTCAAACGAGGCTTTCTCAAGCCATCGTAAATTTAGTCTACAAACTTTAATTTCTAGTTGATTTATATCACTTATCAAATTACAATATAATTAATAAAGAAACATAGAATAATAACTATATCATTATATATTCTTTATATACTATATACTCTTTATATAGTTATTTGCATAGATATGTCCTAGAGAAACTATTTCTACATCTATTTACAATAAATTTAAAGAGATTGCTAATCAACCTCTAGTTAGAGAAGTCATAATCTGTCATATGCCATCAAATGTCATCAATTTCCCCATCTGTGTTTTCCAGGTGGACTTGGTGGGAGCTGACAAGCTAAACAACTCGATGGGGTTCTCCATGTTTTTTGTGGGTCTTGGCTGTCTCACAGGTCCTCCTCTGGCAGGTATGTGGAGTTTGGATGAGCTCCATGACTAGATCATAGAAGCGATAAACATTACAGAGTGAACGCAGTCTTGATGTCTCATGAAAACAGCCAGCAGTCTTCAGGAAAGACTTGGCTTCAGGGACACTGAGGTCGTCAGGTTCATATTTCTGTTTAACTGGGTTACAGATGGGAGACATGTTAACTCATCTAAAAATAGAGTTACCTGTTTGCTTATATTTAAAGCATTCTGCAGCAAACAAAACCACAGTCGCTTTACTGAATTCGTGATTTTGTGCTGAACAAACAGCTACTTTCAGGATTACTTTTAGACATTTGTTACTTGCTGCTATTTACTAATGACACGCAGTCATAAATACCAAAACAGAATCTCCTTATGCAGAGCAGCTCTAATGTGAGGTTCAGTTCTTGGAAATGCTAGTCTAGCAGAGGGGCCTCTTTAGGAAGGCGAGTACAGACCTTGCCCTGAACTCTGTTACAGTTATGCTAACTTGAACCATCTTGTCAGGGCCCCCTTTAACAATCCCCCGCCTCACAAAAATAATGAGCAGTAAGGCAAGCTAAACTGATTTTTCTATCCTACCCAAGGCCTTTCCGGACGTGACCCAGTGCTTCTTGCGTTGTAAAAACAAGCTGTCATTTTGAAAGTGTGTGCAGTCAGAAAACAGGTGTGGGCAGATTTTTAGGGGTGGAGAGCGTAGAAAGATTTCTCCATCTGTCCATCATTTTAAAGATGTCTTGTAATGGTTTTTACACTCTTACCTTCATTTAATGTGCAATGTTGCTTAGCATAAAAAGGTTCCCTACATAGGGAGTTATTTTATATGTGAGTAAACTGTTTCTGAGCTCCCTCAAATGCATAGTCTTAAAGGGATAGTTCACATGAAACTGAAAATTCTGTCATTATTTACTCACCCTTGACTTGTTCCAAACCTGTCTGAGATTCTTTCTTCCTTTGAACATGAAAGTATTGACATAGTACTTGATTAATTGAAGTCAATGCTTGCAGGTTTCCAGCTTTCTTCAAAATACCTTCACTTGAGTTTAACAGAAACTCATGAAGTTTTGTAACCACTTGCGGGTGAGTAAATAGTGAATAACAGTGAGTTTCTAGGGGTGAACTGTCCCTTTAAGTTTTCCTCCTGGAATGTGAACATTCAAAAATATTGCAAATCTAAATACGTCCTGCCCAAGGGGATGAGGCCTGGCTGAGGTGATTAGTTGTCAGTGTGTTTAAGTGTTAACAGACATAAACAACATTATGAGAAGTGCATTTCTCTGACCTTTTTGACAGAAAACCTGTCTATCCTCTCAGCAAACTGTATTTCAGAAGTTTAAACTTGCTCAAACTCTGATGCGGTTGCTCAACAACCCGATGGAACTATTCTAATGGGAACACACTCATAGTTTTATATGGCCAGGCATTTAGAAGTAAAGAAATAGTTCACCCAAAAATACAAATTGGTGGTACGGGGGCTCAGTGCTTAGCTCTGTCACTTAACAGCAAGAAGGTCGCTAGTTGGCATTTCTGTGTGGAGTTTGCATGTTCTCCCCATGTTCGCGCTCACAGTTTAAAGACATGCACTATAGATGAATTGGGTAACCAAAATTGGCCATATTGTACATTTGTGTGTGAATGGGTGTGTCCCAGTACTGGGTTGCAGCTAGAAGGGCATTCGCTGCTTAAAATATATGCTGCCTGCAATAGTTGGTGGTTCATTCTGCTGTGGCAGCCTCTGATAAATAAGGGAATAAGCTAAAAGGAAATTTATAAATGGAAATAAAAATGCTGTATAATTTACTAGTGCTAATGGGATTTTTTTTGTAACTTTCGAAAGCGCATTAATATGTCATAAAACTAACCCACGTGCCATTAAGGGGTTAATGCATTTCTTTTAAAACCAATGGACATGTTTTTGTAACAAATATATATATTTCTATATTTTAAATGATAAAATCTGACTTCAGGCAGCTGCCGAATACGCATTCTTGACAACTTCTTGGCTGATCTCTGACTTTTGACTACGGCTAAGAGAAATGTAAAAAAAAAAAATTGGGGTAACTTTCATTTTTGGTTGAACTAAAAAGAGAAGGCTGATAAGTAAAAAAAGTATAATTTTTGTTTTATTTGTTTACTTTCTTCATTGACCTCTAAAGTCACTATGAAATCAAATGTAATGCTGCAATGTTATTATAAATGTGTGTACAAATGTGAAACAGTATATATATATATATATATATATATATATATATATATATATATATATATATATATATATATATATATATATATATATATATATATACATACATACATAATATATATAGTTGAAGTCAGAATTATTGGCCCCCCAGAATTTTTGGCCCCCAAAAATTTCCAGTTTCTGTTTAACGGAGAGAAGATTTTTTCAACACATTTCTAAACTTAATCGTTTTAATTTTCTATGATGACAGTAAATAATGTTTGACTAGATATTTTTAAAGACACTGCTATACAGCTTAAAGTGACATTTAAAGGCTTAACTAGGTTAATTAGGTTAAATAGACAGATTAGGGTAATTAGGCAAGTTATTGTATAATGATGGTTTGTTCTGTAGACTATCGAAAAAAGAAATAGCTTAAAGGGGCTAATCATTTTGATGCTAAAATGGTTTAAAGAAATTTAAAACTGCTTTTATTCTAGCCGAAATAAAACAAATAAGACTTTCTCCAGAAGAACAAAATATTATCAGACATACTGTGAAAATTCCCTTGCTCTGTTAAACATTATTTGGGAAATATAAAAAAAATAATAATAATAATCAAAGCGGGGCTAATAATTCTGACTTCAACTGTATATATAGAGTTTAGATGCTGTCTGAAGTGTTGTCTGAAATTGCCATCGAAAATGAACATAATTCTCATCCCCCTTTGTTAATGTTTAGATATTTCACTTTAAAACCCAGGAAAAGGACTTATTCTTTGTCATAAAAGTGATGTTACTGAACAAACACACAGAAGCCTGATAAAAATGCTCATTTAAAAGGAAAATTTCAGATGGCATTTAGAGGTTTTTGCATCTAAACTCTTCATATATTCATTGGTGCATGCTAAATGGCATCCCTCCCAATTATATAGAACATACAAACTATGTGTGGGTATTTAGTCAGAATCCATATTAGAAAAAAACACCCAGGTGACCATCAGCTACTTCCACTGAAATTCTGAAACGTGGCCATGTGGTCACAGGAGAAAATTTATGAAAATAATGAAGCAATTAAACTAACAGGTTAAGTGGCAATAAAAACATGTTTTTTGTCTGAATTAATTTAATACTCATATTCATACCATATAACATACTTGTTTAACAGTTGTGAAGTTTAAGGTCACGCAGTGCACAAACACTTTTGGATGTACTTAATGTGTTTGTGCAATATTAATTATAATACAAAAAATCAACCTTTTGCAATGATGTCAATTTTCTGGTGTTTACAGTCTTGACAATGCCACTCACATTACCTGACAAAAGTATTTTTGTCAATCCTAGTTGTAAGAGCTCAAATAATAACTTGACTTCTAGTTGATTTGGAAAAGTGGCAGAAGGTAGATTTTTCCAAAGAATCGTCTGTTGTACTGCATCCCAATCATCACAAATACTGCAGAAGACCTATTGGAACCCACATGGACCCAAGATTTTCAAGAAATCAGTCAAGTTTGGTGAAGGAAAAATCATGGTTTATGGTTACACTCAGTATGAGGGTGTGCTAGAGATCTGCAGAGTGGATGGCAACTTTAACAGTCTGAGGTATCAAGACATTTGAGCGGCCGATTACACTACAAACCACAGGAAAGGGCCAATTGTTCAGCAGGATAGCGCTACTCATCATACTTCAGCCTCCACATTAAAGTTCCTGAAAGCAAAGAAGGTCAATGTGCTCCAAGATTGGCCAGCCCAGTCACCAGACATAAACATTATTGAGCATATCTGGGTAAGATGAATGAGCGAGCATTGACGATGAATCCAAATAATCCTGAGGATCTCTGGAAGTCCTGCAAGAACGCTTCTTTGCCATTCCAGATTACTCAAATAACTTATTAATAAATAATATAATATTAATAGTGTCACTCCAGAGATGTATGGATGCAGTCCTCCAAGCTCATGGGAGTCATACACAATGTTAGTTATTTTTCCACTGCACCATGACTTTATATTCTATGCTGTACATTATTTCTGTTAAGGGACAAGACTATTGTCTAATCAAAGTCAGACCTTTCTGTCCTAATTAAATAATTGAAAATCAGTCATGGGTGACGCAGTGTTGCAGTAGGTAATGCTGTCGCTGGGTCGCTGGTTTGATCCTCGGCTCAGTTGGCGTTTCTGTGTGGAGTTTGCATGTTCTCCCTGTGTACGTGTGAGTTTCCTCCGGGTGCTCCGGTTTCCCCCACAGTCCAAAGACATGCAGTACAGGTGAATTGGGTAGGCTAAATTGTCCGTAGTGTATGAGTGTGTGTGGATGTGGATGTTTCCTAGAGATGGGTTGCGGCTGGAAGGGCATCCGCTGCGTAAAAATGTGCTGGATAAGTTGCCGGTTCATTTTGCTGTGGCGACCCCGGATTAATAAAGGGACTAAGCTGACAAGAAAATTAATGAAAATCAGTCATGATCATATTTTATTTTGGTAAAATAAGCATAATCCAAAGGCCTTTGCCTTTAAAATAAGCCACTTCTGATACCAAATGATCAACTAGAAGTCAAGTTATTATTTTTTTTTTTCTAAATCTTGGATAGGCAACAAGTCTTTAGTCAGGTAGTGTATATAAACCAATAGCAAACAACAATAACAATCCAATCCCGTTCTGCATCTGTTCCTCATTGAAGAGCCTGTTCACTCAGATGTGTCAAAATATATGTTCAAATTATCTAGATAATTATCTTCTCTATTTCATGACAGATAGAGCAATTTTTCTCAATTTGGAATCACTTTAATATATGTCTAACGTTTTGCATTATGTCCCAAAGGCTTCCTATACGACTACACTCAGACGTACGACTGCTCCTTCTACCTGGCAGGTGTGTGTTACCTCTTATCATCGATTTCTCTGTTCCTCGAGCCTCTGGCGAGGCGCTGGCAGGCCCGAAAGGAACGGCTTGAGACGCTAAACCAGGAGTTGATGTGGAGTAATGGCTGTTTCTGTCCGGCACCTCAGAGGAACGGTGTTGTATAATAAAGGAATAAACTCACAACCGTTTCACCTTTCATCACGTCATGTGGTTCAGTCTCGGAAGAGGAGCTGACCTGAACATTTGGCGGGAACACACTACGGCAAGCAAATCAGTGTTCATTTGAATTCAGAGACCAATAAATGCTTGAGGACACCACAATGCAAACTATTTCGTTAGTGGACGAGGGAGAATGGATTTTGTTGATTTTAATAAACAAACATGTGCTTCCCTCACCCTCGCACAACAAATTTATGTTTTGTCGCACCATTTCTAAGCATATTACGACAGTGGATTATTTCAAACGAAAGACACGCAAACACATCCACTGTCACTCACTCAAATTTAACTTTTTTTGTCAAATGGCGATGGGTTCATGCACAATAAGCAGGTCTTCCGTGTGAGAGCGCTTCCTCCGTGAGCAGAGCACATGTTTTGAGCCTTTAATATTCGTTTGTGTGATTTATCAGTTGTCATGAAGCTGTGCAAAGACCTGCATAAGGGCACAATGATTGACCTCGTCGTTTTCGTTTAGTCGTTGGTGTACCAATTGGACTATTTCGGACCAGAATAGCCTATTCTCGACATGGACGACTTTTTTTCTTCTCCTTGCTGGTGCCAAATCATTCATTCACTACTGACAACAACCAAGAGATTTTCTGGAACAAACCGCTGCATGGATACAAGTGCATATTTTGCTGATGCTAAAAAATGAGGTCAGTTGGCTTGTCAATTCATGCGTTGTCCAAGAGGCCCAGACGGTGAACATTTCAAATAGTTTCTCTAAAGTGCAAATCCTTTATATTTTTGTGTTATTTTATTGCTGAGATTCACCAGTGCACTGTTTATGGCCACTTACTGCCTTTGTACACAATGACTGTGCTAAACATCATGTGATGAGAGCCAAAGATGCAATGGAAATACAATGTATCGATCTATGCATTTGACAGTCCTCGGTATTTTCGGTTCAGTGTGCGCTGTTGCCCTCTAGAGGCGTTAACCATGTACTACTGCTGGAATGTTGGATCAATTAACAGGCTATCCATGTTCTGGAATGTCCGATTCTTTTCTTTCGTCAGTCAAGTAATGATCAACAGAGCATTTCCTAATAGGAATGAGCAAGACACGCACAATTGCAATTGATTTAAAGGGATAGTTCATAAAGAAATGAACATTTCCTCACTATTTACGCACACTCAAAACTTACTTTATGAACACAAGATATTCTGAAGAAAGCTGGGAAAAGCAAACAGACATTTATAGTAATTGGATGTAAAATGGATGAGTAAATCATTTATATTTTTGGGTGAACTATCCCTTTAATAATAAGCACTTCATAATGTAACATTATGCCATTCTCTGGACTTATTATTGTTGCCAATTAGACAACACCAGCTATACTGTACTGTTAGTAATTTAGCGTTGGGATTATTACCCTCGCTTTTTATTTCACTTTTCCTTAGGTTTTTTTTTAAGGATTATATTTTGTTCATGTTGTTGCCTTCACTCACTACTGTTAAGATTTACATGACTGCAAATTAAAGCCAGCAGTAAACTTAAAAGCCACTGGGTTTCCTGTTTGTTGAAAGACGCACAGGGTTTATAATAGAAATCATTAGGAATATATTAAATAATTCATCTTCAAATCATTCAATCATTTTCTTTCGGCTTAGTCCCTTTATTTAAAAGTGGAATGAACCGCCAACTTATCCAGCATATGTTTTACACAGTGGATGCTCAACCCAGCACTAGGAAACACCCATATTGTATTCACACACATACACTACGGGCAATTTAGCTGATTCAATCCACATTTAGCGCATTTTTTTTTTTACTGTGGAAAAACCAGAGCACCTGGAGGAAACCAACATGGGGAGAACATACAAACTCCACACAGAAATGCCAACTGGCCCAGTTGGGGCTCGAATCAGCAAATTTCTTGCTGTGAATCCACAGTGCTAACCACTGAGCCATCGTGCTGCCATCTCCAAATCAAATCTTGATTAGAATTTCTTTTAATTATTATTAAATTGAACAAAGTTTGACTGCACATGTAACATCAAAATCAGACACAAACTGGTGTGAAAAATATCTTTATTGAGCAAACTGAATATAGTACACACATTTCCAGACATTCATTTAATATGACAATATATTACACACTAGTTATTACAAGAAATCAGCTTTCAGGGGAATTACTGTGACCTTTGTTTCTAAAAAGTATGTGCAAAAAAAAATAAGTACTTACAGAAATCTGAGCCTTGAAGACACTATTTTGTTTTATCACTGATGGGTACCCACAATGCAACACTGCTGTTCTCTGAACACCAAAAACACAGAATATAAAACAAGTATTAATTGCATGCGTTACAAACACTTGTTTACTTAAGTAATCAAAGATCTCTGACAGTGAATCAATAACAAACCACTTAGTTTGATCTGAAGACGTCCAGCATTCAGCTCTGTCCTCCTGGAATTGGTTCAGATCAGCACATTGGTTAAACAATATCAACATATATTCTTGCTAGAGAGGATCTTAAAATGAAGAAACTGGTCGATTTTTGAGTTTGAAGATCATCAAGCATCACTTTTGAAGGGACAGTTCACCCAAAAAATACAATTTACTCATATTAATTTTTTTTGGCAAAGTCCCTTTATTAATCAGGGGTTGCCACAGTGGAATGAACCGCCAACTCATCCAGAATATTTTTTACGCATTGGATGCACTTCCAGCTGCAACCCGTCACTGGGAAACACCCATAAACTCATTCACCCACACAACAAATTATTTAGCTTATTCAATTTACCTTTATCTGCATGTCTTTGGACATGCAAACTCCACACAGAAATGCCAACTGACCCAGCCGAGGCTCAAACCAGCGACCTTCTTGCTGTGAGGCGACAGCGCAACCCACTGCACTGCCCTACTCACATTTAAGTCATTATAAACATTTATGAGTTTCTTTCTGCTGTTTAACACAAAAGCAGAAATTTTGAAGAACGCTGAAAACCTGTAACCATCGATTTCCATTGTAGGAAAATACAAATACTATGGAGGTCAATAGTTATGTTTTAAACATTTTCCAAAAAAAAACGCATTAACAAACATGTTAGTAAACTATGTCAAAACAATCACTTTTGGGTGAACTATCCCTTGAAACGTCAAATTTGTTAGTACAAAGTATAGTAGCAGAATGAACTCTGTAACGCCTGCATTCAGTTACGTCTCCATTGCAAGTAGTGAGATCATTCATAATGTGATCAGAGGAAAGAGAAAGCCTCTTGTTGAGGTCTGAAATAGCTTATAGTCATCATGTGGTAGCTTATGAAGAGAACTAAGCTACAACCAGGAACAATGAGCTAATGTTTTTGGACTGTTGGATTTAACATGGACTTTTCATTAGTTGGAAAAGCGGGGGGGGCTGGGGCAGCTGGAACCTCATAAAGAGATTATGTAAATGAGGCAAGAGGAGGGGCTTCAGAGTTACCGTGGAGATCTATGGTTACCTAGTTACCAGGCCCGATCCATAGCATCAGGAGACAAGCTGGTCATTGAGAACTGTGATGAAGACAGAAGAGAAAGCATAAAGCATGCCACGTTCATGGATTCTGTCAAAGTGTAACAAACTGAAAAAAAAAAGTTTTGCAGAAATTAAAAGGATAGTTCCACACCAAAAATGAACATTTATTCAAAATGTATGCACCATCAAGTGGTTTCAAACCTTTACGGGTTTCTTTCTTCTGTTGAACACGAAGATATTTTGAAAAAAGCTGAAAACCTGTGACCATCGATTTACATAGTAGGAAATACAAATACTATGGAAGTCAATGGTTACAGGTTTCCAACATTCATATCAAAATATCTTAATTTGCGTGTAACAGAAGAAAGAAACTCATAAAGGTTTGAAACAAGTCTTGGGTGAGTAAAAGATGACTGGTTTTTCATTTTTGTGTAAACCGTCCCTTTAATTATTCTATTTGTTAATGCAAATTACTTTTTCATGTGATGAAGGTCAGATTACATTAAAGTAAATTTTCTATAGGGTTAATAATTACTGCTCTATTTCAGGGGCCTTGGATCATAAAAGAGGCAATTTAAAAGGCTAGTTCACACAACAAACAAAAAATACCCTGACAATTTACTCAAGTGGTTATAAACTTGTATTTATGAATTGAACTAATTTCTTTCTCCTGTTCAACACAACACAATATATTCAGAAGAAAGTTGGAAAAAAACTCATTGACATCCATGGTAGGAAAAAAAACAAAACAAAAAACTTTTAATTGTGAACTATCGCTTTAATTCCTTTATTTTATTTGTTAATGCAAATTCATTTTAATGTTAGCCAATATCAAAACTATTTTTGTTAGCAAAGGTAAGTAGTTGTGTGTAGATGGGACTTTATCTGTATATGTTAAAGCTGTTTGATTTTGAAGGCTTCTTCCTTCAGAGGTTGCATTTGTCAAACATCAAGGTAGTAGTAATACTAATTTATAACAGTATTATTATAAAATCGAGATTTTTTTCTTGTTACATGTTATTCATTGTTATTCTTATTTTTTATTTAAGTATGATTGTTGCTTGTTTTAACAGAGAAATGTCTCAGTGCAACAAAAAGGCCTAAAGCCTTCCATAAATATTACAGGCACTAATAATAATAATTGGGTGTGTGTGTGTGTGAAAAAAAGGATAAATTCATGTTTGTACACTCAAAGAAAAAAAGTTAAAGGCTGTCACTGTTGGTGGTCTCTAATTTACAAAAGCTAAAATGTAAATTAAAGGGATAGTTCACTCAAAACTGAGAATTATTTACTCACCACTTGTCACTAACCTTTATGACTTTCTTTCTTCTACTGAACATAAAAGTAGTAATTTTGAAACTGGTAACCATTGACCTTCGTAGTTTGTTTTTTTCCTATTATGGTTGTCAATGATTACCAGTTTATAACATTTTTCAAACTATCTTCTTTTGAGTTTAACAGGAAAAAGAAACTCATAAACATTTGAAAACACTTGAGTTTGAGTAATCAGTGACTAAATTTCCATAATTGCGTGAACTACTCATTTCAATGAGGTCAGCTGAATGTAAATGTCTAAGAAGCAAACTGTTCCTGAATGTTAGTAATAGTTTTACAGCTAGATTGTAATCTCTGTTACTTTGTAATTATTTTACACAACAATGGACTTGCTCTAAAACACCATCATTTTAATATTACTGATACTGCACCATCCAGTCGCAGTGCTGTGTTGCTTTTCACTCAGTAATTTATGGTTTTCTTTTGTAAATATTGATTTTTGAATCAAGGTATGTTTATTTGGGATGAAAATTGTCTAATTTGTTTATTTCTGCTGTTGTTGAAAAAGATTCATTTCATTCAAGTTTATGCTTAATGCCAGAACTTATATCTTCCAGTTCACTCAAAAAGAAAAAACAGATACCTACCGATGGAACATAATTTGTCATACCCCTGTGACATATATTTGTTCCTGTTTTAAACATAAACTCACTAAATTATGTTTAATTTCATTGAAAACAAAACTAAATTTATCACAAATGTTTAAAAATGTGATTTTAACACATGAAGCTCTAATAACGTTCAAGTAAATTTTCTACAGGGTTAAGAATTACTGCTCTAATTTAAGGGGCCTTGGATTGTGAAATTTCAATTTAAAGGGATAATTCACGCAAAAATTTAAAATACCCTAATAATTTACTCAAGTGGTTATAAACTTTTTTGAATTTCTTTCCCGTTCAACACAAAACAATATATTCTGAAGAATGTTGGGAAAAAAAAGTCATTGACATCCATGGCAGATCCAAAAAATATTAAGAAAGTCAATGGCAGTTTTTTCCCCCCCATCTCGTCTTCAGTATATCTTCCTTTGTGTTAAATGCAAGAAAGAAATTCAAACATGTTTGGAGCAAGTGAAAAGTGAATGACAGAATTTTCATTTTTAGGTGAACTACCACTTTTTAAGATGCACATACCCTTTGTATCGTTTTACTGACAACCTTTTAGCTGACTGTAAATCTAGGTTCTATTCATATTCAAAAACAAATCTGTAAGAAACCTCACGTTTATCTTAGATTATCTTCATAAATGCTACTTATAAATCATATTTAAGATAGTTCAGGCGGTACAAAATTGAGCTCACTGTAGCCTGTTAAGTTCTTAAGAATCCATTAACTACATTACTTTGAAAATACATACAGGAGAAAGTTGCCATGGGAATAAATTTAAGGATAGGCTAATTAAAGGCTTCACATATTAAAAGTGAATTTGGTCAAGTTTTAAATTACTCTCAGAAATAAAGGTACATAAGCTGTCACTGGGGTGGTACTTTTTCAAAAGGTACACATTTGTCCATATTAATACCTCAAGGGTATATATCAGTACCTAAAAAAAAGTGTAAGAGGTACACTTTTGTACTTTTTAGGTACTAATATTAACCCTTGAGGTATTAATATGGAAAAATGTGTACCTTTTGAAAAGGTACCACCCCAGTGATAGCTAAATACCTCAAGGGTACATATTAGTACCTAAAAAAAGTGTAAGAGGTACACTTTAGTACTTTTTAGGTACTAATATTAACACTTGAGGTATTAATATGGACAAATCTGTACCTTTTGAAAAGGTACCACCCCAGTGATAGCTCACATACCCTTATTTCTGTGAGTGTTGAAATGCAGAGTTTGGTTGTTGTGTTGTTAAATGTACATTTTATCTATTGTGGTCATTTTAGATCTGATAAGATGTACATTACAATGTAAAAGCATGCAACTTTAAATATTTTGATTTATTATAAGTGTCAAATTATTAATTTATGGTTCTTTCATATTTTGGATTATGAGTTAAATTAATTTGCTAATCTAAGAAATGTGTGAATATGTAAAATTTTAGATTATTTCAATATAGTTTTTGTTTTGTTCACAGGACAGTTCACCCAAAAATAATGCTGTCATTTGTTTGCCCTAATGTTGTTGCAAAACAGTCAAGATATTTTTGTTAGTTTTATCAGACACAAGATTATGAAAAGTAACATTAAATCTTAAATTAATGTATCCAAATTTTAAGTCAACTGCATCCTAAACATAATTATTTTCTTAAAAAATATTATTACAACAAAATTACAAAAGACTCATGCAATCGCATACTACAAACACAAAAAAAAATATTTTGCAAGAAAATGATACATTTTAACCACAGCTTGTGGTTTGTGTCTGAGATCTTGTTTGTTTAACAAAAGTCAGTTACCTTTTTAGAACAACATAAGTGAGAACAAATGACAGAGCTTTCATTTTAGGGTGAACTAGGTTTTTTTTTTTTTTTTTTGCAAATTTTTGTGTAAAATGATCATTAAAATAGTCACAACCTTTAGACCTTCAAAATTTGACAAAGTTCTAAGCCTTTTTTTGTCCTCTAGGAAGAAACAAATTAAGGTTTGGGAAACTACAGACATCACAGGTACAATCAATGGTAAAGTTCTAATGCATTTGCTTTACTAACACTTACCTGTACCAGGTAGATTCTGAATCTACAGACCTGGTAACTCCCTACTCACCACCCACACCAGAGGACTGGTCTGGTTCCTGCAGGCAGAGGCCTGTGCGAGTGAAGTCTGTCACTGAGGGCAAAAGGATGCTGGTTCTGTCCTCCTGATGAGGATCCTCGCAAGCAAACTCCACGTTAACTCTTGCTGGAGTTCAACTTTCTTCAAGTTACCACAAACCGATCATCTGGATGCGCTTTAAAAATCTAAAGTACTTTAACTATCAAAACTCGAACACTTTCGAAGACTAAAAACGCTTTCTACATCCTCTTCCTTCACTGCTTTTCAAAAACAAAATCATATCAGACAAAATCAAAGGATGGGATAAACAAAAGCCTGTTCCTGTGAATTGGAAAGCCTCGTTCTGGTTACAGCGAGCCTGGATACTTCCAGCAAGACGGCACATGAATCAAGAGGTGCTGAAACAGAGTGAAGGTCTGCGCAAACATCATCTCAACGCTCAGCTTCTCCCTGATCTGTTTGAGGATTGGGGGGGCAGGGTAGCGCCGCAGGACCCTCGTGTTACTTAGCATGTGGGGCGACTCCAGGAAAACATAGATCAACAACAACACGGAGCTCTCTTGCCCTTTGCTCTCACTGCCATGACTGATCCCGGGCCGAACACAAAGCAGGAGAAATGCTTTCCTGAGCAGAAACAAGCAATCGAGCAACAATTCCTCCCGAAACACAACCGAAAAAGCAGCGGCAGCCGTTCTTCAATTGATTTCCAACGAATAAACATTTCTCCCTCAATTGAAACAATTTATTGATAGCGTGTTATAATCAAATGAGGGGCCAGTGCACTTTTTGTGTGTGTACAAACAGCCAGGTCAAGAGCTGTGCAAGGAGTGAGTGACCGCTTCCTCTTTCTCCCCAATCAAGAAATTAGGTAAACACAGCACAAATCAAAAGTGTCATTATTTCCGTTTAAATACGGGAACTGTAAGCAGAAAAAAAACAATTACACAAGCAGGAAGATGCTCTCAGTGAGAGTACACTAACACTAAATGGAAAGCTCTTGCCCCAAGTGCATCCAAAGGGCTCCTGAATCATTTCAAACAATCATTTCTGCTTCCAGACTTGTGAAGTCCACTTGTGGAACGGTCCATTTCCTGTCCTGTGTGGCCAGGACTGAACGTGCAGTATGTCCATTTATTCATGTACACAAACAGCTGTTATATTGTGAAATCACTGACCAGTCGACTTTTAAAACACATTTTAGTGTGAAGAATTAAAAAAAAAAAAAAAAAGTCATACATGAAAAGATGTTATTATGCATCGGATCAGTACACTGCAATTAGCTAAACAGACTAAGAACACAAATTTCTACCTTTCCAGGGTTTTAGAGAAACTGTTTTAAAAGCATTTAAACAATTAACACCTAAGAACCATATGTGAAATATTTTAAACATTAATGGATGTTCAACTAAAAACATGTGTCTATATTAGAACTAAAAATCAATGAAATAAAATGTTGAACTGTCTTACACTTGAACAAGAATTAGATCTTTAGGGCATCAAGTCTCTTTATATATATATATATATATATTTAGTTGTACACCTTTTTTTAATCAATGCAATCCACATGGCTTATCTACCAAATTGTATTTGATAATTACAAAGTATCACACTATAGGTCACATGCACTTTACACTGATGATTTGAAAAGTCAGTTTTATAGCAAATGCACTTTTTTTGTATTCATTATCTTTATAAAGAGACTTTTATAAGAATACCTGCATTAAATGTTACACTGAACAAAAATCTGTAATTTCTGAAAAATTATAGAGGAAAAAATAAATTAAAACCACCTAATTAATGGAATCAAATTAACACACGTTGTAATTTAAAGTGAAACTTTAAATAAAATCTCACTTTGAAACCAGGATTATGCTTCATTCAAAACCTTTCAAATGTAACCCAAAAACATGAAAACACAGAATGTCAAAATACCTTTTCTTTTTTTTTTTACACAAAACTGAATGTTTGATATTATGCTTTGGTCTAAGGAGGGCTTAGAAATATTTATCTTTTAATCAAAATATGTTTACATGTTATTTCTAATATGTAAAGGGGTGTTAATATGCAGCCTGTTTTAATCAGTTTAACACTGATGGTATTTTTCAGCTACATCTTTGTGTTTTAAACCTCTGCAACAAGAACACTAGCATCAACATGCACTTCACTGAGCAAAATAATCTTTTCTTTCCGTTTTAGTTGACTATATACTTATATTACACTCCCCATTACTGAATGATTGTTTAAAGCATCAAGACACAAACCAGGTTCCCCTTAACTCAATTTGATGAACATGAATGAACATTGAAAAACAGGATTTGACAAAGGGGTGAGACTGTCTGGAATCTGACTGAAATACATGTTGATAGGAAGTGTTGTAAATAGACAGTGTTTAATGACCAAAGTAAATTCCTATTCTAATATGCCCAATAATTGTCATTCTTTTATGCAGATAACAACTTATCACAAACTAGACATCTGAATAAATTGCAACAGAAAACAAATATATTGCTATAGAGCTAAACTTTGCTATATGAATGGGCCATTTTCTCTCTTTTTTACTGTACATGTTTGGCAGAGCAGGTAACAACAGCTGCCCTTTACTCTAGTACCACTTCTGCTTTAGAGAGCATGCAATTAAGAGACATTAAGAGAAGCTTGCATTTAACAATACTTTAGTGTGTATTATGACTGTTAAGATGCTCCTCGTACAACGATCATGACCAGGAAGTCCTCTTCTGTTTTGGCAAGAGCTTTCGCAGAAGAATCTAAGAACTGCTGAGAGAAATCACATGGTGGAAATGCGTGCAGGACGCCAGTGTTGTCCTTATCTCTACTGCCGCCGACGGGCAAACTGATGACCCCGGCGGCCTGCTTTTGCTTCAGGTATGAAACCAGGTTGCGGAGAGGCCTCTGCGTGGATGCTGCTGGGTCTGATGATGAAGTCTCCTCAGAGCTGCCTGGAACTGCCAGTAGAACTGCGTAGCCTCCTGGGCCTGCCACTTTGATGCGCCGAGACACCTCGTCGATCTTGGGCTGGTCTAGACGAAGCCGTTGTGTGATGCGCAGCTGAGAGACTTTTCCACCCGTGCTGCCGTCGATGAGAAGGCTGGTGGCGACGCTCAGGTCCCCCTCCAGGAGGTGCATGCTGGCTGGGAAGTTACTGTTCTTGAGGAGCAGCATGCCATTCCAGGCCATGCTCAGCTTCCCCCCTGCGTCCTGTTTTGAAGCTTGGTTGCTTTTGGAGCTGCTTTCGGATCTGTCCCTCTTGGATGCACCTTTAGCTGAATCGCCCGCTTTGCGCTTTCGTTCTGCAGGGCTTGCGCCGATGCTGGACTCAGAGAGGTTGCTGTTGCTTTTGATGCGTTTTTCACCGGGAACTCGGTCCAGGCTGCTGCGGCTCTCTCGTGCTGGGGACACCCGGTCTGCTCTCGCTGGACGCTCAGAGTCACTGAAACGTCCGTCTCGGCTGCTGCCGCCTGGGCTGCCCTCAAGCGACGGGGGTCTGCGACGGCGGGCCGCCCACTCACTGCTGCTGTCAGGCGAACACTCCAGATGTCTGCCGTCCTCCATGAGCCGCCGTTTTCGTGCAGCTTCTCTGCCTGGCAGCTCTCGCTCCAGTGACCAGGCCTCTCGCCGTCGTTCACGCTCTAAGTGTTCAAGGGGCTCAAATGCAGGAGTTCGTACACGTTCACGAATAGTAGGTGCTGGCCACTCAGCCCCAGCATAGAGTTCTCTTTCTCTGAAGTGCAGTGGCGGAGGAGTCCGTTCTCTGACCCTGATGGCTTCAGGGGTGGCACGATGAACGAAAGACTCAGCCATGATTTCATAATGTTGCAGGGGGAGGGGCTGCAAGAACTGTTGTTGGTAGCGATGCTCTGTGTCAGCAAAGTCCACCCTCAGCCTCCTGTCAGGACCACCAAGAGGAAATCCACGCATGTGTGTGCAGGCTGCCTGAGCAGCGTCCAGGCTTTCATACTGAATATAAGCCCAGGTGTCCCCTTTTCTGTAGTCTATAGTCCTAATAGTTCCAAAGCGGTCAAATTCCCGGGCTAATGCAGTCAGAGGCACCCAAGGGCCAAGACCACCCACCCATAGTCTTGTGGTTGGGGTGGCTTTACCATATCCAATTTTTATGGGGTTTCGGCCCACAACTTTCCCAGACATGCTAATTTTAGCTCTGTGAGCCATGTCCAAATTCTCAAATTTAAGGAAGCCATAGGTGCTGCTCTGGCCACGAGTGGGTCTTTTAATGTCCACCTCAGTGATTGTCCCAAATCGTTCAAAAGCCCTCCTCAAATCGTTTTCAGTCACAGTAATATCCAAGTTACCCAGAAACAGTGTGCGGTTGGCTCTCTGGTCGTCCTCTGGAGAGATAAAGTCCTCCTCGCGGAAAGGAGCGGCTCGCTCTGCTATGTATGCGGGCCGCGCCCTCGCTTCATAAAAGGCAAACTCTCTTTCTCTTTCCAGCTCTCTGGGCAGAGGCGGGGGTGGGGGAGGAGGAAGCCGACCCAGTGCTAACTGCTGTAACCGGTAGTCCCTGTAGCCCAGGCCGGTTGGAGAGAGCGGCCTCTGAGTATGCAAATGTCTATGGCCTGCAACAACAGAGAAATGATCCTCCTTCACCGGAGAGCGACTCCTCCGCCTGTTCAAGTAAACTGCCTCGATTTTTAAAGGACGGTCGTAGAGCACCAGCCGGCCTCGTGCGTGCTTTGCCGCCCTGGCATCATCCGGTCTCCTAAAGTTGACGAATGCGATTCTCTCGTCGTTCACTCGGCTGATTTTGACGCTCACGTCACCAAATTTTTTGAATTCATGAAAGAGGCCGTCCTCGATTTCCTCGTCACTCAGCTGCGAGCCAAGCTCGCTGATTTTTAAAGTTTTGTACTCACTTTCGTTTGTGGGAAGCGGTGCGCGCGCCTCCCCGCGCGAGTTGGTGCGCGCCGCCTCTAAGGACAGACTCGAGGCGTGATTTTTGCCGCTTGAGCTCGCAACAGGGCTCGTGTAACCGTGGTTATTACCAGTCCGACTGGATACATGTCCGTCAAATTCCCGTCCGTCTCTTTTATCTCCAAGCAGTCCCCGTCGTGCAGAGCCCCCGTCGCTTTTAGACGAACTATTGCCGTTGTTGCTTCCTCCGCCAGAATTCGAGATAACCCCCATTTTCTTACTGGTCGGATGGCTTCCTCCCCTGTCTCGTATATCATCCAAGGCCCTTGAACGTTTTTTCACCGGCGACCGCTCTTTACCTTTCATGTTAGATGTCCTCTGGCTTCACGCGCCTAACAAAACACTTTTTTAACTGTAATGCTACCGCAACGTCAACGAATTTGCACGATAAACTGAATAAATTGTTCAGTGTCCCTGCGGCAAAACAACCGCATACGCCATCTTGTCAAGACTAAAACATGACCCGCCCGTCGACTTTGATTGGTTTGAATCTCTGAGAAACGACAGCGCTATTGGCTGATCCGTCTGTCAATCTAAAGCACTAGTACAGCGCCCAGTCTCGCTGTACACCATTTTAGCTTCAAAAGCCAAATGTTTACTATAGCCACTTTATAAAACACAGAGGTGACATTCAACTAACCGCACATATAGTCTTTGAGAACATGTACTGCCAATATTATATTTGCTTCTTAAACCATATTTATTAATCATCTCGATAAATCTACAAAGAGTGCTTTGTATAGGCTATTTTTAAAATTAAACGGTGTTTAACTTTAATAGATGCTAAGAGTCTGAGTTTCACCTACATGTTATTTCTTATAAATTTAAATGAACTGTGCAATCTTTATAAAACGTAAGTAATCCAAATAAAAAAAAAACTAAAACATTCTCGTTGTTCACTTGATGTCCAACAGATGGTGGTGTTTGCCTTTCACAGAGGTGAACGGACGGGTCACGTTAGTGTAAACGTGAAAAAACAGCCTTTTAACCATGTCGGTCAGCTATAGATTAGCATTTTCCATGGGTTTTAGCCATTGGTTTTAGCCTAATAACTGAAATAATTTCTTAACTAAAACAATGCAGATCTCTGATTATATGCCCATGTCTGTGAATTTTTTTTTATGTTAAATTGTAAAAAATAAATAAATAAATAAATAAATAAAAGTAATGTTATTGCCTTTAAATTAGTTAAAATTTATCTTAAAACAATTTAGTGTTTTACAATTTGCATGCTTTACTCATACCCTCAGGGACCATTATAGTTTTAACTTATACAATTATCAATTCAACCATCAAAATTAAAAAAAATTACCCCCAAATTATTATTTTTTTCAATGAAGAAAAATAGGAATATATTTATAGGACAATGCTTTGAACTTAATACAAAAACGTCCAAAACCTTAAATGAGTGATAATAAAACAAAATACAACTATTTTAAAAACTTTATCATGCACATAAACACATTCATCCAATGTTGATTCACCAGAAGACAAATTGAACAGCCAACGTGTCATTTATTTATTTTTTACAATGCACAAACTGCATTCAAAATCAAACACTTTCTTGAGTATTTGAGTAGGCTACATACTTTGAAAACACGCCCTACATAATGAACATAGTATTGTTTAAACAATCTAGAACTACAAGATTAGCCATGTTTTAGTGTCACGTGCCCTACATCTTCAGTTACGTCACTTCACTGGCATTCACAGATCCTCTCATGTTGCCTTATGGAATAGTCCCTTGGAAGCACATTGCAGAATCTCACCAAAAGAAGTAGGTCATCTGAATACTTACTACAAGTATAATGAACCTCTTTGTTTTTTACTTACTATAACATAATACATTTCCCAGCTATGTGTTGCAGCTGGAAAAGGGATCCGCTGTGTAAAATATTTCGTCACCTTGGAATTATAAGGTTCTATCTGTGTTCTGAATGATTTTGAGATATTGAGCTTCAGAGTTTTTGCATTCCATAGCAAACAGTATGTGAGTGACATTTGTTTAGTTTTTTCAATAAAGTCTTAAATGTAAACAACATATAAAAAATCATCCCATGATGTAAATAAGTTGTCATTTAAAAATAATGTTAATAACTCAAGTTTGACAAAAATGTCAGAACCTTATAATTTTAAATTGAAAATATACTGGATAAGTTGGCGGTTCATTCCGCTGTGGCGAGCTCAGATTAATAAAGGGACTAAGTCAAAAGAAAATGAATTAATAAATGAATAACATAATAAAGAATGTGATTTCAGATGCAGCCCTGGACATTACTATTAAAGGGAGTAGTTCACCCAAAACTGCAATTATGTCATCATTTGCTTGTGCTTAACTTGTCACAAACCTGTTTGAGCCTCTGGTATCCCTTTTGCACATTTTGTTGACTGTAAGTTGGCAACTATTTTTTATTAGAGAGACTATTTGCTTAGTATCTGCTGATACTGCTCCACCAACAGACATGCTCTTGCCTATAAGAAACGTACATGTCAACTTCAGTGGTAAAATACTGAAAAATTATATTACAGATAAAAATTGTTACAGATTTAACATAAAAAAAATCTTCCTTTGTGTTTAACAGAAAAAGGAAAACTCATAATGGTTTGGAATCACCAGATTAGCGTGAGTAAATTTTCCATTTTTGAGTGGGAATAACTCATACTCAAGGCAATTTCAAAGCAGGTTTTGAAAATTTACTCACAACTGACTTGCCCATAAGTTCCAAAACTTTATCAGTTTCTTTTTTTCTTGTTGAAAAAAAAAAGATATTTAGAAGAATGTCAGATACCGGTATAGCCAACAATTCACTTCCATGAAAGATGTATAGGCTACTATGAAAGGGTTACACGTTTACAACATTATTTCAAAATAAAGTGTTTGAAATTCAAACAGGCTTGTGGAAAAATAAAAAATATATATAAAAAAATAGCAGAATTTTAAGTTTTGTTAACTATCTCTTTAAAACGTGTGTATATAGTTTTATCTTGAGTCTTTATCACCTACAGTACAACATTTAGAAGGCCAACTATCATCTTTGTGCGCATTTTTCATCCCCTCAGTTTCATAGTCGTATCTATTTAGGCAGTGGCGCCCCCAGAAAATTTTCTTAGGGGTGGCCAGAAGAGGCCACACCAAATCTTGGGGTGGCACACAAAAAAAATTATGAATTCAGTGTAATGTTATATTTTTGTTTTTGGTAAATGTAATAATGTAGTTTTTATTCATTTAATTAATTCTTCTTGAAATATTGCTATTTATTCCTTGAAGTAATTCAGGAAGTACATGTGCAAACCAAATAAAAATCTATGTTTAGTTTAAAAACACTTTTCATATATATATATATATATATATATATATATATATATATATATATATATATATACTGTATAAATAACTTTTTACGTGATTTTATTGTACATCATACGGTATATGCCATGTCTAAAATTAATGAAGATTAATGAGTTTATTATTCCCAGAGATGGGTTGCAGCTGGAAGGGCATCCACTGTGTAAAAATGTGCTAGATAAGTTGGCGGTTCATTCCGCCGTAGCGACCCTGGATTAATAAAGGGACTAAGCCGAAAAGAAAATGAATGAAAGAATAATGAGTTTATTAATAACCCAAACAAATGAACAAACTGAACAAAAGGCATTACTATACACACTCACTATACCAAATAATATCATTTATCCATATTACTTTTTGAGCCATTTTATTAATGCTGCTTCTTCTATTGATATACTGTACCTTAAGGTAAATATTAAATTGCCGTTGCTGTCTATTGAAGGTGTGTGCGTGTGCACAGCAAAATATGGGGACCCAAAACAACTCTATGGGTGTTAATTTCAACCCTTTGAAAGTGTCTCATGGGGTCCACTCAAAACAGACTTAAATCAACACTTTCAAAAGGGTTGGCACATTGACACCGAAGAAAGGGTTAATTTTAACTCTGGGCAGAGTTAAAATATGTAACTATATTTAACACCCCCTGGTGTAATATATTGTTATTTTATTCAACTCTCTTGAGTGTAAAAATGGTAAAAAGGTCAAATAGACTGTAAATTACAAAATAAAAAACATTTTATTTGAAAACATTCACTACTTCAACAATTCATTCAGTTTTTAAAATGCAACAATGTCAAATATGCTTTGAATGTTTTATTAGTACAGACAGTATCAACAAAATATGTATGACCAGTGCTCAAAAAGGCTGTTTCAGTCATTTGGTCCAAACTTGATGTTTCATCAGAGCAATTTGAAAGTTCAATATAGCGTCACTCATAGTTTTCTTCTGGACTTATAGTTTTCTTGTGAAATTACATTTTAAACAACTTGGCGTGCAAATCTTTTACTTCTGATGTTTCCTTGGTCCTCCATATCAAACACAGCAGTTTAAATGAAGGTACAAATGCTGTAAACTTGTGTGAAAACAAACTGGAGCTAGGAAGTCTCATCAAGCATGTCCTGTGAATGAAGTGCTTCCCATCCACAGGATGTCCTTTATATCCATGACGATGTAGCAGCTGCTGATCACTCGTCTGGTGGTTCCTGATGCACGGATATACTGTAGGGTGATGCTCATCTAAGAACTCTTCAAGACTCCAGCATGACTAAGAAAAATGTTTGAAAACAAATTGCAGTCAAATTCTATGATATATTTGAAAGAACATTTCAAGTAAATGAAACATTCAAGAAATCTAAACTCACCTTTTGAAAATCTTCATGATGATCCACAACTTGACTCTCCCAGCTGGTTGAGGTGACAGGATATGAAAAAGTAGAAAAAAACACATATATCACTGTTGGATCTCCAAAAACAATTAGGTTAACCACTATGACTAGAACTGGAAAAACAGGCAGCTGTCTGTCCATAATCCTGAATTTAACACAACACTTGGAGCAAAATTTAGAGGAGCTTAAAATCTTTTATATCATTTAGTGATGCTGACTTCCCAAAATATTGGCCACAGTGTAAAAAATATTCATAAACTTACAGTTTTCTGTAAGCGTGTGCGTGCATGTGTGTGTGCGTGTGTGTGTGTGCGTGCATGTTTCTTTACCAGATTCAACTTGTTAGGCCCTTTCAGGTCCAGTATTGACGCCACCTTTCCTGGAGTCTAGCAGATGTTTCAGGTCCAAATATAATCTAAAATATTAGGATAAGCAGAAGAGGAAAAGTGCAAAGCAGAGCAAAACATTATTTAAGTAACAGTTCACCCACAATACAAAACTTATCACCTTCATGTCATTTGTTATTCTCTAATGCTCTATTACCCTCTCAGCTTATTGTGAAACAAATAAAGAACTTTATCAAACATACCTTCATTATTATCACCACATATGACCAAGAAGGTGTGCTTGGTCATTTCACCAACTCTGGAAATACACCATCCGTCTCTAATCAGCCACTGTCACAGGGTCTTGTGTTATTGTACAGAGAACTGTGGCTGTTAAAAAACAACAACAC